CTTGTATGCAGCTAAACAGAACCGGCAAAATCTTATGGATTCATGTTAAAGTGTGACTTCTCCAGTGTGTTTTTTATTTTAGTTTCTTGCTTTATTCAAGTATGTAAACATAAACATGGATATATAATCATATCCACTGAATCACTTTCTACTTACTACGTAGAAATACATTCTCTTTGTCAGCGATCAGACTTAGATCTCACTTTCCCATTTGGTTCTGGTGTGAAAGTGAGGCATTTAACACAAAAGAAAACTCCGGGGAGTGATACTTAAACAGGGTAAAACATGTAGATGATTTAGGTCGTTTTTGTAACAAAAATCCTTTATGATAGAATGAGTCTGGTTTTTTTTAAATTCTGTGTTAAGCGGGATGCCTTGTTGCATTACATCTTATGTGTTCCTTTTCATCTATTAAAGACATTCGTAACCAAGTTCACTGTTATTAGTATCTGAAACGTTTTAAATTTTAATTTGTCAATAATGTAGGTACTCCCTTGAAATGATATATATAATTAAGGCATTTTTGTTGACCTTCCGTGACTGATCCAAGGATAAGACTTGAGCACTGGGGTGGAGTATAGTTCCATTATGGATAAAATTTTATTTTGACATAATCACGCAGTGTTATACAGTAATATTTACTGATGACCACTTTTCGAGCAAAATTTATTGCTTACAATCATATCAAGGTGATCACATCACTTTCGCGCTTCATTTGTATACATGATTAAAAAATTGATTGATTTTCCGTAACTGTTTTTTAATACTGCATATTCTCATGTAGTGAGTAGTGGTATACTACTGTAGAACTGGCAACAGGTAAGAGTAGCAGGAGCCATATACTCTATCACAATGCCCCAAAGACATCATCATTGCTATCTTTAAAATAACTTTGACTGTTAGTTTCATTGCCAGTATCCAATAATTTCAGCTAAAAGTATTTTTTCCCTTTCCATCGTACCTGTTTAATCGTAGAGGTAGGAAGTGTTTTCGTCTGAGTTCTCAGGGTTTACGCTTTTATACTTGGAGGTTTTCAAACCAGCTTGAAACAGGCATACCATGTATTCGAACTAGAAGGGAAAGCTTTCTGTATGCAATGTATTTCGAAAACCACGCAGATTGATCTGGAAAGTGTTTTAAATGCATCTCAGTCACGTTCATAAGGTATGTGATAACTGTAATAGGATTGTGGTGTCACTTATTTAAATGCTGGTGTCAGCCTTATTTAATTGGTGGCGATTGAAAATAAATATAGATCTGCTTAGCACTTGGTGGTTTTCTGCATTTATGTTGCCGTCATCAAATATGACTGCTTGTCACAGAATACGGAACAGTATTGCAGTTGTTTCCAATGTGCTAAGTAACTCACTTAAATTAATTTGACAACCTGTATTACATGAGAAGAGGAAAATAATACACGATAGACTACCTTTTCGTTAATATGTGATGTTCGTTGAAATAGGAATAGGCTAGGCAACAACATCCTAACACTAAGTCCACAAAGTGATCAGTGGTTAGATTAGTCTATGTAATAAGATGTTTGACCTTTGATATACTTATGTTGGTCAGAAAAACAATTTACTGCAGAGCTTAGATAATAGGCTTAAAAATGGACCGTTTTTAGTAAGAAAGTATTCAATCTCTGTTTCCCTATGAGTGTTAAGCGCCTAACAACATTGTATTCTGTTTTTTAGCTGCTTAAAGACTACCACTTTTTCTTCCACATATTGATATTTTGATTTCTTGTCCTTCCAGTTAAACAATGAAATGTATCTATTACTATGCCACAAAGACAAATGCAAATTCAACATTGAAAGTCTTTTTTATTGTAAAATAAAGTAGATTATACTAATGCCAAGCTTCATTTTACCAAGTGGTCTAGTGGATAACGCCTTGACGTTTGAAACTATGGGCACTGGGTTCAAGCCTCGGTGGGAACATCAACACTGACTCACTGGGGAATGCAGGTATATCCAGATGACGAGTCCCGGATAGGACGAAATTCGCGTTATCCTGGATTCCATTGCTAGTCAACATGCACCAATTAAGTTGATTTTACCCTCTTCAAATCGGTGTGTCTGGTTATTGATGACCATTTATATAGGTAGATCGAGGTAGAACTATGCGTAAGAATACACCAGTTCAAGCTGCCACACTTTGAGCCAACACTCAGAAAAACAGAAATAGGATGATTTTACGATGCAAAAATATCATTGTGCGAGAAGAGATGATAATTTAGGAAATTGTGATTAAAATCTTTATAATTTCTAGGACGCTAAACAGTCTATATATTTAAATCATCGTTTAAATGATTTCGAGATATTTTACCTCGAGTCTTCGGCTATCAATTATTAGTCCAGACAGAACCTGCAATGACTTCTGTGTTTTTTGTTTTTGTGACCTCTTTAATTAGCTCACTTCAGATAACATTATTTGTGAAGGAAAATGGATGACTCAGTGTGCGCAACACTGTCTCGATTAATAGAGCTTTACAACCTCATCGGTCAACTTGCCTTCCTTCTGCTTTTGATTTCAACACTGTTTTACTCTGTAGTTTTGTTTAAACGAAAGTAATCCATCGAAGACGAATAGGATCAAGAATGTATAATCTCTTCACACTTACTTTTGGCCGTCCTAGTACCACAGCCCTAGAATAAGACAGGACAAATAGAGTTGGTCAATATACTTGCCACAATTGATAACCGAATTGTGGTGGTGTATACAGACAATGGGTTCCCATGGTATGTTATTCTCACATATTCCTACAGTTCAATGCATTAGCAACAGAACACTACCTACATATATATTTGAACATTGTATTTCATGTCGTCTCATGTAAACAAAATAACAATATGTAGCGGTTTGATCAGCTGAAAATATACACTGGCAAAAGGCCAAACGGAGGCTCTATATCTATGCTGAGATTTCGTCAACATCTAACCTCTAATAATAATAGTAATAATAATAATTTGCTTTATTCCAAAACAGTACTTGTGATGCAAACTGGAATTCTCAGCATCTTACTACAGTATTGCATCCAGTTAGTACATAAATAATAAATAAAATTCTACATAGATTAAGGAAATAACAGTTCATTATGACAACAACATATTGGCATGTCAGTAGCAAAGCCAAAATTGAACAGTGTTTGAAGGTGTTTGAAAATTAGATACTAGCATATTTACTGGCGAAGTGGAAGAAAGAAACAAAGCAGCACATAATGGAGAGAAAAAGAAAAGAAAGAAAGAAAAACGTTGTACCTATAAATGATATGAGTCGGAAAGACGAGATCCAATTGTTGTTGTTATAGTTGAGGCAACTTCAAAAGACTAAATTTATGTAGTGTGTTTATGTCTAATGGAAATATACCGCTTGTTTACTGCAGACCAACTAGTATTTGTCCTTGTAGAAAGGCGATTCCCCAATCAGCCTTACCATTGCATCTATAAATAAAGTAAAATAAACTATTTTGGAATATATCTTGTGGAGAACGATGACTTTTATTAACTGGATGATAATTCTGTGCCATATTTTATAATTAATTTATGCATCATGTTTAACTTGTGGCACACAGTAAATGTTCTTCTGAGTTTATTTCTCAGAGCTAACTATTTTGACACTGGAGACAATAATTGCATATTTAAAATTTTTTGGCAATGAATGTTACACAATCCGTCGGATTGTATGTGCTCCATAGGTTGGTATACATTATTGGAAGTCAAATAAAGATATGAAATCAAATGCATGAAGGCATGTAGTGAAAACTAATAGTTGATGCTTATTTCACACTGAAGAAAGTATCTTTCGTCTAAAATTTTTCATTAGTGCGTAGACGCTAACACCCGAGATTATTTGCAGTGATTATTACCTGCAGATTGTTTCTTAACTTAAAGCAAGAAACCATGGATACCCGCAGATAAAGGCGTCATGCAGGTGAAATGTCATGCTTCATGATATTGGGTCGACTGGACCTCTTCATATTCAGCATTCAGGCTACAGGCTGAATAATGAAAAGTAAAAATGTGTGGAAACATTACAATTTTACAACTTTTGAGAATTTTTCCATCTGTCTCACTAACTGTTCATTTGTAAAGGTGAGTTAAATAGAGTCAAATTTAACCCATTCATTTTAATTCATAATACACCTTGTATGAAAGCTAATTCACCAAATAGACTATGTATGACAAGGTCAAGGTCTGGAGTAGGATTTTCAAGTCACTGTGCATAAAAGTGCAAATCATGTGACTGAATATTAGACTGTTTATTCATCTGACATCAGTTATTGGTAAGTTATAAAATTCTTGAATTTTTCATCCTACCGTCTGATACATACTAATGAATTCATGCATGCAATCTAACACAGCACAAATGTACTAATGCCTTGATTTGCTATTAGTCGGTAACACTGTTCTTCAACCGGGTTAACTGAACGACATCACTCACTATGTGACTTTGACTATCAAAAGCCATGAAGTGTAAGCCCAATAACTTTTTCTTACTAGTAATTAATTGCTATTTAATTGGTGGATGGTGACTAGCAGCGGAATCCAGGATGCGCATTTCGCCACATCTAGGACTCGCCAGCTGGATGTACCTGCATTCCCAAGTGACTCAGTGATAATGTTCCCACCGAGGCTCGAACCCCAGTGCCCATAGTTTCAAACGCAAAATGCAGGTACATCTAGGTGATGAGTCCCAAATAGGACGGAATGCGCATCCTGGATTCCGCCGCTAGTCACCATCCACCGATTAAATACTAATTATATGCCCAGACATCGTCGAAGCATCTGCACAAGAAGCCTACATGTCAGCCTGAGACCGAGTACTTCGGTCCAATCAATCGACGGGAAAATCAAAAATTCACTTAAATTAATTAATTGCGTTCAATTGTTTTCGTTACCAGTTTTTAGTCAGTCAGCCTTCTGATATATTTTAACTTACTAATGACATGCAAACAGAATAATGTTATCTTGCTTTATTTATTTATTTGCTCATTATAGAGTAAAGCAGTTGAAAAGTTTATTTCAATTCTCAATCAAGAGTTAGATTACTTATTTCACAATAATAGTAATAATAATAATAACAACAATAACAAGCATAGCAACAACAATAATAATAGTTGTAGTAGTACAACACATCATCTACAAGAATTATTTAAACAAACATTGATGGAACTGGTCATTGTATTACAGTGTAGACAATTTATCAGAGATTTCGTCAAGTGTGAAGGTCACTGCAAACTTTTCCAACTTGTTGAAGCAATTGAGTAAGTCTAACGAATAACTAACTGTATGCCGCATTGTCTTGACAATTAGGCATACGATTTATAGTTTTAATAATCTTTTTATTGAATAAGGCAGGACTGCTATAGGTGTATAATCATCTGGAGATTATAGTTCCTGATTCACTATGCCTTTCGATGGCTGTGATTTATTAGCTCAGGCGCTTCTCTGTCAACAGCAAACCATGACTATATGGAAGTCAATCAGTACTCTTGACAGCAAAATATATGGTGTGAGTAGCTTAGTACATTGATGTGTCCTGTACTTCTGATATTTGCGCCATTATTATAGTCCTTGAAGGCAACGAGTCTTGGCATCATGGACAGATAAGTGATTTATTCACAGACCTGAAGCATCCGAAATTTTCTAGCAAAAGGAGTTATGCCTTTCTGCAAATAAGTCTTTAGCTTTTGTATTCTCATTAGAAAAGTCTAAAGGTTGTGTTGCTATTCTCTAGGGAAGATTTATTTATCTCCTTTGTTCACCTAAAATTTCATTTATTCTGAAAGCACTATTATTAATGTAAGGGTAGGATTTGGGCAATATAGTAGAATACATATTCTCTACACAGTATTAACAATTGGATGACGCTCTAAACACAGAGTACAGTGGGATAGGATAAAAATAATATATGAAGGCGTATATTTATGTGTAGGGTGAGAAGTCAATCATGGATTCTTCTTTGTATACTGAATCAAAACTAATCATATGCGATAGGAATGATGCAACACCTATCCACAGTTTAGACTTAAGGACAGAGGCAGTCAACAACGGGATGCTGAGTAAAAATGCATTGTTCTTGTTGAGGCCAATGATCATGATTTAAATAATTTATCTTTAATGATATTAGATAGTTGGAGGCAATCGCCAGGAAGTCTTCGACCTGGGTTTCGTGCTAATTGGGACTCATCAGCAACATATCTGCAACCTTGAAGGAGCTCATGTCCCTTCTGTGATTCGAATCCGCGTCACCCAGTGCTGAGATCAAAGAGCTGAGCTATTCGGGCTCACGGTTGACCTCCTGTAGGACTGTAGTGGGTAATTTGATTGGACACTAGTAAGTATTGTGACGTGTCTAGTCATCATCAAATCAATGTGCACCGTGTTGGTGAGCTACCTAGAATGGTGGCCACATTGCAAAACCTGACTGATCGAATTCAGTCTGCATCAAAGAAAGGACTAAACACGTCAGAATGTTTACTAGTGTCCAATTAAAATAATTTATCTTTCTTTCGACCACACCGTAAATATGGCAATGCTATTAACGGGAACTAGTAAATAGTATGTTATGTCTTACTATTATTTCTGACATATCGCCGTTCTCATCAGTTGGCTATCAACTAAAAAAGATATCAACTACCAAGACTGTTGAGTAATTCAATCATAACTCTATTCTTTATTTTAGCTTTTATATTAAAACATTCAAGAAATGTTAGCAGCTCAACTGTGTTGATATAGTCTCTGAAATCAACTATCATTTTAATTTGTTTCACTCGCACTACTTTTGAATATAACAGTAGTTAAACGTATTTATATACAATGTTTAAATGTCGCAACTCGGTGTTAACTCCTCACCTGATATATTAAGAATCTTGCTTTCAGTGTGACATTTAAAGAAAGTTGTATTAAATAAAGTTCTAGTATAAATTTGGAAATTCTGTGATCTGTTATTTTTGGACGTTCGTTTTTGAATTTCCAAAGTGAACTCTATTAGTTGTTTCCTAAGAAGCATTCAATTCCTTGGCAAAATAACAGGGCGTATTTCCATTACTTCTTGGGATCACTTTCAGAGGAGTTTCTACTGTGGTGAGAAATGGCTGCTAGCCAAAGTTGATAGACAGTAATTTACGTCAATGTGTACGTCCCCAATATTGGTCTTGAGAAAAATGAGGACAAAGACTTTGCGTAGGCGGATACAGTTAGTATATAGATGATCTGACATTCAAGAAACGGCCACAAAGAGATGAAAGATTAACTTTCTGTGAGAAACAACCGATCAGGGGACTGTTTTTCTGCTTAACAATAATCGATAATATGTCCATGAAAATCTATAAATATGTGTTGATTTCCTTAGTAAACGATCTGTTTCCTGGCCCTTGTCTTCTGTTGTTACACTATTAGTTCGATAACATATATAAGTGGTATATATATAAGTATGTATGGCAATCTTTTTGTTCTCTCATATTACCCATACTCTAATGAAATACAACTTAATGTATTATGGTATATACTACTGACTGATTACCCAGTAGTACATGGTAGTTAGATCGAAGTGATCTAAACACTGGAGAGCCATTTCACTCCATTAGGGCCGATATCGTCAGCTGTACGTCCTGTTTTAATTCAGCTCAGAAAGACGGATCAGTTCAGACCAGCCGAATTATCTCTCAGCTTGAAGCACAAGTTTACAAATGATGGATTTGATTCCAAGTTAAGTTTTGTTGCATAGAACAAAGTTAAGTCTGCGTATTTGCAAAACTGTGCTAATCTCGAAGTTTTGTGTCGTAAAAGTATATGATTAGCATTTCTTGTGAAAAGCGTAACTTCGGCCTTATTTTATGTATGACAAGTTTTCATTACAAAATAAAATATAATACCAAAGAGTTGTGTATCCTTTTCATTGATCAGTATACATATATATTCATAACGTCTCGAAGTTTGAGTTACGAAACTGATGCCTGATTACTTCTCAACTTTGAAATTCAGAAAAAAAAGAATATCTCTTCGCCTGTAAAGCATCCTTCATTCGTTTAATTTGGTTTTGATTTCTTTTTACAACAGTAAATTGGATAGAGAATTTCATGATCAAATTTGGCCGCATCTTTTGTCCTGTTTAGCCGAATTATCGAAGTATGCTATAACTAATCGGCTCATCGCTCATAATCAAGATAATATGACTTATCTTATTACCTGTTATACAACAAATGATAATTATAGGCCTTGCTCATCTGATGAAATGACTACTAAACAAAATAATGAAAAAGTTAATCCAGTATCGTTAAGAAGTATCAGTCATATTGTTAGCGGCAGTAACAGAGAAGAGTTTTTCAGCTGGCAGTTGGTGTCCGATCATTTTTTATTTGTAGTGAGTCAAATTTTTCTCTTTTTTTAAATGCTCAGTTTTCTGTCATATGCTTGTTTCAATAAGTTTTACATCTATAAAATTAAAAAGTCTCACACACGTGTGTATTATTTTGTTCGCCATAATTTCTACTAACAGACAAGTAAATAAGCAGTTATGTTTTGCAATTATTAGTGTTCTCTGAGCTGGTTGGTTTAGCTGCGGAACTTTCGTCGTCCTTCTGGACAACATCTTCAGCGCAATATTTGACATAAAGTGAAATGATTTAAATTTCTTCATGAGTGATATAACTGCTCCGCAACTAAACCAACCAGCTCAGAGAACACTATTAATTGCAAATCATCCACCTGAGCTACAAATCTTCTTTACTATCAAGCATTTATGTTATTCAGGGATTTCGATAAACAGAAAATGAGATGTGAGTAAAGATGGATAAAAACACAGTACTTACAGGTGTGAAAGCAGCCGAGATAAAATGGTAAGTACTATATTAACTATGTCATATATCATCTAGCATCTTCAGACACTGACTTCTAAGCACCCTGATTACTTCAAGTAAATAACCTCCATTTTCCTACGTCACTCAAACAAAGAATCAATGACTACACATATTAATATCTCCTTGCGGTTTCATTGTGTTGTATTGTGTCATTATGTTAAAAAATAAATGAATATGGGCTTCAAGACGGTTAGGGCTGGGAGAGGGATAACAGCGATTATCCTATTAATTACTGTGATTGTGGTGAGAGCAGGCTGCTAGCCAATTAGTAGGCATTAATTTACGTCAATGTCTAGGTCACTAATATTAGCCGTGATAAAATGTGAACAAGGCTGATTCAACAACCAGTCACAGCAGACTTAACGTGGGCAAATACGATTCGCAGATATATCGCTTAACTTTCTGAGTAACCAGTCACAAGCAGTACAGAATAACCTTGAGCAAGAAATAACCAATCAGAAGACTGTGTTTGTCTGCTTGAATAAGCTATAATAATGTACGTGAAATATATATAAATACGTGCTGATTTCCGTAATAAAACGATCTGTTGCCTGGCCCTTGTCTTCTGTTGTTACATGATTGGTTTTATTGGATATTCAGTCAGTGATTCAATAGCACTGGTTAGGACATTGATCGCACTGTCAAGTCACACTCGATTACTGAACAATAAACACTTTTCCGCACTGTCAAATATTTGCGAATATTCAGTGTTTTTAATTATCAGTTTTATGCCTTATAACGGAAAAAGTGAACTTGCTACATAGTATATTTAAGGGGTTGAGAAGTACTTGAATTAGTTAGTCAGACAGTTATGGTGATAACAGCCCTGAGACAGTTGAAAGCAATGTTCTATGAGATGCACTCAACAAATAAATAGTATTTACAATATTCTAACGGAGTAGAATTTAAGCCGTAATCAATGTCAATAGGGAGAGCAGTGAAATTATACTAAAAGTCTAACTGCATTCGGTTAGGATCTTTGATTAGCTTGACTTTTGGAGCAATAGCTAATCATATTTTTGTTTCGAATCACTTCGCTTGGCTGCCTTATTTAGTCAACGTTATGATGTACATTCCAATCTTACACGTAAGCTTTTACCAATCAACTTCGAAAGTAGAAATATAGAGGAAGTCGTCCTTCCAACTTATCTAGACAGGATCATTTAACTACAAGGATCACGGATGTGGGTGTCAAATGCAGGATTGGAAAAGTGATATAGACATTTATTAATCTGAAACCATTCTGGAAATTTACTGCACTCAGCATGACGATCGAGATCCAGATTTTCGACACTAATATGGAGCCAGCGCTTCTTCATGGTCCAGAAAATTGGCGCGTTAGGAAAAGCTTTGTGAACAGGCCGCAGACTCGTCAACAGCTTCTTTCGTTCTACACTGAAGAGCAGATGACCAGAAAGGATTAGCAACATGGAGCTCTGGGAACCAACTGACCAAGAATCTATAGCCCAGCAAATATGCACAAGGAAATGCAGATGGATTGGTCACACACTAAGGAGATCGTTGAACGTCATCATGCTGCAGGATAACCCTTAAGTGTAATGGGAACGACGAAATGGCTGTGAATCCAAGGACAACATAGAGGAGATCGTGTGGGGAGGTGATGAAAGCCTATGGTATATATATACGTACCATTACTCATTCTTCATCTGTGATCTGCGTTTGTTACAGTAGTAGACACACTTATTATGTTGCCATTGGTAACTCTTAGTAAACAATATTCGTTGGATAAATAAATTTCTAAGAATTAAAATAGTAATAATAATAATAATCGACAACTAGTAGGTTTTCCACTGGTTCTCTAACTTATGTCAGCTCACGACGAAATCCTCCATACAATCAAGCAAAATCTCTACAAAACCAATACTTGAAAAAACTAGTGAATAGTTTACAATAACGATAATGACGTATGCTTATCTTTCACTTTATTTTTATCTTTTTTTTAATGTTTTCTGTCCTTCAGATTATTGATCATTGTAGACGGGAGAACAATTTAGTTTGTTTAAAGCATGAGCTGAAATTAATTTTAAAAATTGTCACAGACTAGTAAGTCATTCTTTTCTCTGTTTGTTTTTGTTCATTTGTTGCTGGGACAAATATTAATAACTTTCTGACATTTGTCCTCATTAAATGCTGGGCGCAAACGAAATTTGGAGTTGGAGGATTTTAATTCAGTCGTTTTTGTTTTGTTTTTACCAATCATTTGGAGATTACCATCATTACCATTGCTATTGTTTATTATTAGTAGTGGTGGTATTCAGTGCCAGGGATTGAACATACCTTTGTATATGGTTTTGGCTTGGAGTATTAATTAGGGTTAGATAAGTAAGTTATCAGTGAATTGTCTTGCATACTCTGGTGTTTACTCAGTATTTCAAACAATAAAGTATGCAGTACGTGGAGCTTTTGTGGTAAGTACTAGTGTATATAAGTCTACCTTTGACCATTTCATTTATCATTTTGTTATATATTGTCCAGTCAGTTAGTTAAAACTTTATCAGTGGCTTGTCTCTGGACAAACGTGAAATTAATAAATTATGGTGAGGTGGAGTTTTGTTATAAACATGTTTAATTGCATAATTTCCCAGCAGTTAGTCGATCGTCCCTTACATATCCCTAATAGTGGTTTGGTGGAAAGCTGGACACTGCTAGAAGTCGGTGATATCATCAAAGGTACTTCAAGAGTCTCGTGAAGTGTACGTACAACGAAGTCATTATGGGCATTTTTGCGTAACAGATAGAACGCTTTGAATTAAATTTATATGCTTATAATTCACTAGAAGTAAATTACTCGGATTCAGTTGTTAATTTTACAAGCATTAAAAAATACAATTTGTTGCCCAGCTGCTATCTCATATGACTTATTGGCCTATTGGATTGTATTTTGGCAAATGCGAGATTCAAATTTTGTTCAGGCTCACGAGATCAAAGTAGAATTGGATGCACATCTAGGGGTTGCCATTGTTAGTTAACACCAAATAACTAATTATTAAAATACGGCGCGCCGTTGATGAATTTTCGGTATTCAGAAATGGAATGGAGATCAATGAAATGTGAACAAATGATTCATACAAAATATAACTCCTTTTCTCATGGTAATTTTTTTTATTTCCTTCACGTTCCCAGTGGGACATAAACCTTCATGATGGAGGCTTGAAGTTTCTGTAGCAGTGTTTATTTTTACAGGATGGAGTTGCTAGCATCATACCCAACCTTCCCTCTTTACCAGTCTTATTACTGGATAAGTGAGGTAAAGGAGTGCGTCGGCAGGTGATCGAACCCCGGACCATGAGCATGGTCGGCGAGCATGCTAACCGCTGTGCAACCGACGCACTCACATGGTAATAATACAATTCGATTCGCTTAATACTGAGGGTGTTGTTAATGCTTTCATGACCAATGGTGATTACTGGCCAGAAGACTAACAGACATTACGGCTGTTTCACTACTTTGCATCATAGCATATTAGTGCTTTCTCAGTGCTATGTGCTGTATAGTTTGCCAGTACTTGTTATGTCAAACAAACTACATATTTTGGTCTTACAGTGTTTCTGTTCTAGGAGAAACCATGGTGAGGTCAACCTATAAGGAAAGAAACCTACTACTGTTCATACACGATGAATATTAAGTGACTGTCACCATTATTAGTTGATAAGTGAATTATCAACCATGTATTTGTCTGTGTATATCATCTAACCGCCAATGAAGCGGATTTATAGACCATAGTGTTAGTTAACCGTAATTAAGTGTCATAGTGCTGCAATAGCCGGTTTATACTGTCACCTAATGTCAACAACATTAACAGACGATTCGGCGCGATATACCAGAAGAGTAGAACAAGCAGCATAACAGTTTAAGTGCGAGTATAAATAAGGAACTGGGTAATAGTATGGAGAAGTGATCTTCATTCTTTGCGTTCTTAGACTAGGGAGTTTATACTCTACGCAGTGCCCAATTTTTATTCTTATACCTCTCGTCTTCATTGCGTAGCTCCGTTACCCTTTCATGTACTGGGTTCGAGCCTCGGTGGAAACATCATCACTGACTCACTGGGGAATGCAGGCACATCCAGATGACGAGTCCCAAATAGGACGAAATGCGCATCATCCTGGGTTCGACTGCTAGTCACCATCCACCAATTAAATACACATTGATTTTGTTTAAACTCGAAATCCCCTTGTGTAAAAACTATGTGAGTGTAAATTTCTCAGCGCTTTTCATTAAGTTTAGAACCTTCTGTCAACTGACATCATTTAAAATTTGCAAGTATGTTAAACCTTTCCGGAACATAGACTTAATAACTTATTAAGGCTATGAGCAGCTGATGAGAATCCAACGAAACAAAAGCAATGGTACCATCTTGTTCTGCACAAACTGTTGTTCTTGCTTTATTCAAATTCAGATGCATGAATAGAAAGGCGGAGGGGGTGAGTGTTTATTTGTTAGGTCACCTAGCTCCTAAGATAATCTATTGAACTATTCATTTAATATACGGTTTTGTACCCTGAAAAACTTAGAACTTATTTTACCTTTAAATCACAATAGATATCAACATTCGTGTGTCAGTTTTCTATGATTCAGCAATTTAAGGATGTCGGATAACTCACTATTATATCAGTTCAGCCTTTCAGTGTCTAGGGTTGGCTAGCATAAGAAAAATATTGACATTCTTGTCTTTTTGTAGCATTTATTTACAGATTATGTTGGTGGGATGACCTATTTTTTGTTACTTAAATCTGTATTCATTATCTTTCATTTAGTCCTGTGAGAATTCAATATGTCATTGAGCAAACAAAACATGGATTTATATTGGATTTATTGAAAATGTAAGTCATTTAATTGTGATTGTTAGTAATCATTACTAAGACTGTATTCCTACCTTTCCTATATACTTACTTATGAAGTTGTGATCATCAAAGTGGAAAGTGAGATTATCTAAGCAACAGCAGTCGATCATGGAAGTAGATGTAAAGACCATCCAGGCAACTACATTTACCACAGATTTTTAGATATCGTACTATTGATAGCATTGGATTAGAAAATGGATATCCTGTCATACTTCATGTGTGTAACCCATGTAGTTTAGCAGTCCCCTTATTAGTCACATTAGTAGAGTGTGTGAGCTAGTATATGGCCAAGGGTGTCTAGGATGTCGTTAGCATATTTATATGCATATAACTGAAAATGTGCAAGAATTTAGACAACAATTACAATATATTTGACTCCTAGGTATATGCCCGATAATAGTGTTATGTTTTATGTGGCTTGTATAGTTTCCAGAACGGAAATTAGAACCACTGGCATCTTGAAGTGGAGATTACTTTGGGGTAGCTGGCATTCCCATCATTGAAGCAAAACGACAACATGAAGGTTAGAGAGTAATGTGTCTTATAAATTCTGGGCTGGAATTTGATTGTTTGGACATAGATGTCTGTTGTGTGTAAAACGTGACGCACTGGTTAAAAATAAAATAAACTCCAAATAGACATATACAGCTTAGTGATTGATGCATAGTGGCTCATAAGCCAAACGTATTTTTCTATCTAACGGTACTGAGATATGTTACTAGAGTCGTCAAATACATTAAAGTAAGTGGACCGGAGGAAAACAACATGTTGCTAGGTTGTTCAAATACATTAGAATAAATGTCGAAATATTAGTTTACTAATAATTTTATATCTTTTGATTGACTAAGCAACATGTTTACTGTTAGTCAATATATATTTTTCATTTCTAGCTTAGTAACATGCTACTGACTTGAGTGCATATGTCATCCCATGTAACAGATGGGTGGTGTTTCCGATTAAAATAAATTGACTCTTCTAAACAAGATGACATTTTCAGCCTTTCCTAACAGCCTATCTATCGGTTAATACGATGAAATGAACGCCTAAAACCAGAAAATGGATAACACATAATGTACACCATTGTGGAGCGAATTATTATTATTGTTCCCTTGGGTTCCTAGTGGAACATAAGGCTTCAACTGCACGTCTCTACTTGCTTCTGTCTTCCTTCTGCTGAAATTTTCACCTGCATCCATTTTAGTCTATACTCTTTCAACTCCTCTTCACACCATCTCCTCCATGTCACCCTTGCACTGACGTCCCACTCGTCGCTTCCCCTTCGGCCTGGTTCCACTCGAGAAATGGCCTGACCCACGATGTCACCAACTGGCCTCCTCAACAAGTGTCCAATCTATCTCCACTTTCTCCTGCATATTTGTTGGTTGGCGATTGATTCTTGTTTTGTTTGTTAGTGCCCATAGTTTCTTGTTGGTGATTCTTTCCGACCTGGCCATCTGATCTTTAGTATAGAGCGAAGACAGTTGTTGGTTGATGAAGGTCTCTAACAGGCTGTTGGAAATATTCTTTGTGACCCACCCGCCAAGTTTCTGATCCGTGGAGCGAATAATCAAGTAATTCAAAGTTTCCAAACTCCACAGACAGTAAGTGCAGTCAACACTTCAGAAGACATAATTACATTAAGCACCATTTACTCACATAATCACCGGTATACTCACACAATGGATTTAGCCTATTTTTAGCATTACCACTTCTGATATTTTTCAAACTTACATCTAGTCTTTATTGAAAGTAACTGTCATTACCGCTACTATGATCGTAAATTGTTCTTTATTTTAGGATTCATGTAAATACTACTATATACAATTACACAGTGGGTGGTTCAACGCAGAAGGATGAACTACGCTGTGATATGCAAAATCTTATTATGAAATTTTTATATGTTGTATTTTATTACGCGAAGCAGAACGATTATTTATCCTCATTAATACCACAGTATCTGAGAAATATTCGTTTTGTCGAAGTGAGTTAAATTATAAAAAGGCTTCCTTTTTTTCCAACTGTTTTTATTCATGTATGTAGTTCCCCGTTCTGTAGACTGTTGTATTCAGTTGTTCTAGCATGGATAAACTGAGTGTTTCAGCTTACCAAAGCCTTTGATTACTGGTCTGCATAGTTCTTGGGCACGTATATAGCCGATAATTCTGGAAAACAATGTATTTTAAGGTTGAAAACATCACTCCAATGCCTCAATGTGTGTCTACAAGTCGGAAAGATCAAACAGTTTGATAACTTTAGGGTAGCAATTTGGTATAGACTGTTGCTACACTGGTATTTATTTCTTTCAAGCCCAAAAGATATCCGAAAATATTATCATTCTTGGGAAAAACACCAGTGAATAAATAACACATCATAATGCACTATAAATTCACTTTTACTCTGTGGATTTTGTCTTGTTTTTTTTCACCACACTTTTCGGTGAACTTTTACCGTGTACGTCATTCTTTTCAATTATTTTTCCATAAATCAGACACCAAACCAGTAAGAAGAATGTTAATGAGAAATGGAATAATATAACACAATTCAAAGAAGTACTAAAGTTTGCTGACGTTAGGGTAGAAAAAGCCTAAGAAGAATTAAAGCAAATCTCATTTCGCTTCACAATTTTGTGGGAGTTAAAGGCTGTCTGTATCGTATACAAAGTGGGGCGTGAATATTGTATTTGTTTAAAAAAGGGATTCAGATTGTGCACACAAAATTAAAGCATTACTAAAACCAGTTAATTTTTCTCCGGAAGTAAATAATTGAATAATTTCCAACATGCAAAAATGTATGCGTGAAACGAAAGAATAAATAAATGAAGGAATTGCTTCAGTTGGTTGAATTGACAGCCTAAATGTCAGATAATTAAGTAACATATTGAACTATTCTAACTTTGGGAAATGTAATTTGATTCATTTATGTCCAATTTGTTGATCTTAGAATCAATAAATTAAGGGTGTTAGTGTCTATGTCCCAAAAAGTTGTAACAGTAAAGCAGTTTCGTTTTTTCCGAATGTTATCAGTGTTGGTAGAAGTGAAGAATGTGCATTTTTATGAATTTATTTTGTTTACCATATCAAGACTAAACAATCAGCCTTACTGTTTAAATAGATGCCAAACTCTTCAACACCACACAAATATCACTTTGACAACCTAAGATACTTCGAGAAATTCAACCTTTAGTAAACATATTGTTGAAGCATATATTTTTAGAATTATGTGTAAATTTGTTTGTTAAGCTGTACACTATGCCATCTACAACTGTTGAATTTATGTGGTATTCTTCAGTCTTCCATAACTCATAGATCCAGTGGTCTTGATTCAAATAGATTATGCTTTCATGTCCTGCAGTCTAAAAGTCCTCAAACATTAAGCTATACACGTCTCTTGTTTCTCTGCAATGTGAATGCATCGTCAATATAATGAACTGGTATGCCAACATGGTTGATCCAGTTTGGAAAGTCGACACTTGAAAGCATTACCTTCTCGTAACTAATTGCTCAAACATTGTGTGTCCATCATAGACTGAATGAAGTGTTACAAATCATAGACTTCAGTTGTTCCTCAGCTCGAATTACAAATTTAATACACTGATTCACCAAAGCAGATATGCTCACGCCACTATTGCAAAAAGGTTAGAAGCAAGGAAAGGTACCCAATGACTGAAAGAAAGGTTCCCTTGTTAAACTACAGAAAAGGCGGGGAAAAAGGGCTCTGCAAGAGCTGGTGTGGGATCATGCTCTTGTCGACGCCAAGCAAAAAACTAAATCGCATCATCCTGACACGATCAAAAGATCCACTGTATGGAGAACTCATCAAACTCATTCAACAGCTATATATGACAATACCACATGTCAAGTGGTACACAACGGAAAACTCAGCGAGGAAGGAGTTAGACAGAACTGCCTATTATCACTGGTGATATTTCTAATTGTAGTGGAGTGGGTTATGTCGAACAAGGTGACACAAAACCAAAAGACCCACAGGCCCATACCAACAAGTTCTCAGAAGAAGTATCAAAGTCAGGACTTCAAGTGAACACAGAGGAGGCGGAGGTGATGAAGATACCCGATCACCATCAATCATCAACAACAGGCAATAGTCGCTACTGACGGGAGAAATTCGGAAGAGGTGAACTCTTTCATTTATATGACTAGCATCACTTCAACTAAACACGGCACAAATGAGGATGTCGAAACTGGAATATCAAAGGCGAGACAAACCTTCGTCACTCTGAAATTAGTTTGGAGATCTTCCACACCCAGAACACAAAAACAACATTCGGATTTTCAACACAAATGTTAGGTCAGTCAGTTCTTCTATATTGGTCGGAGACTTGACGCGTCATGCCAACCATTTCCAACAGGTTGCAAACTTTTATCAAAAGCTACCTTCACTGTCTCCACATTGTAGACCAGATGTCCAGAGACAATTAGCAACAAGAAACTATGGGAACGAACCAATCAAAGACTCATTGGTCAATACATATTCTGAAGGAAATGGAGATGGATCGGACACACGATGAGGAGACCGTTGGGTGACGTCACGCGTCACACCAGCGCTCGAAGGGATCTCTAATGGGGGATGAGGAGATGGGTTTAGGTCAAAGGGTGACGGAGTAGATCACGGGTGTGGGGGAAGTGAAAGACTATGGGCAGTTGTGGAACCAGATACTATATTAGTAATAATAATAATGGACTGTGTAGTCAGTGGGAATTTAGTTTCGTAAATACAGCGTCACTGGTGTTTTACTCCTCACATTACAAACACTTACTCGTTGCCATTTATTATTATGGAACATGCAATTTTGAATGGTTGTCACAAACGCGAAATGTTTTAACTACATTTTTAACATACACTTGTCATTCACATCATATAACGTTGTACGTTTAATCACTGTTAAGCGAGTTTGAAATGCTTCTAATAGATCAGGGTTAGTTCTCAAGTTTTTCACGAAACAGTTGAAATTATTTATGTTGTAAGAAGTTCAAGTGGTTTTCATGAAATCAGATGTTTTATCACTGGTTGACATTATGTAGTTTGGGGGACAGTGTGTACAGTATTCATGCTAATAAAGTAAAATTTATATCAAATGTTAATAAGCAGTGTTGTGAGTCAGTGTTAGTTCGTTTTAATAATCTTTCAGAAGTGAATAAAATTATATACTTCAATTATTGTTTTAACTTTTTACTCTTAACTTCTTTTTTAATTGAATTGCTCTCCAAGTGGATCCCGGAACTAAGTAATCGTTACTTCTGGGAATCGATCATAACCCCCTATCATCGACATTGTCACTACGATCAATCTGATTACTCTGTTGAAACAGTGAACTCATATTCCCTCCTTGATTTCAATTATGATAATTCAGAGATTACTTTTGTATTGAAACGCATGAATGAACTTTCAAGAATTCTAGACAAAAATGATCCACCACATGAAGAAGAAGAAGACAATCAAGGTAACATGAAGAATTATAGTACTGTTGACGATACCATTGGACCCCGAGAAAAAGATAACAACAATAATAGCAATAAAAACCCTTGTGTACAATTATTTGGTTCGTTGTGTCGCGTACAACAATTGATTAACAGTTTGTTATTAAACCGAATGAATACACCGTTGGATCGCACAGTATGTTAAAAGATATTATTGTGTACGCTTGAACAATTCTTTGTTTTGTAACATGATCAAATTGATTTAGTGCATCTCATGATAATTTGTCTAGATTGAGTGTTAATCAATGCATAAACGATTAAATTAATGATTATGACCTTTACTAGAAAGCAAACACATTTCTACAACTCAGCTTGACGTTTTATTTAATTCAGCAAAGTAACTACAGTTATCTTAACCTGACTTGCTTAAGGATTATATTCATTACTTTCAGACGAGTTAAAATTTAGTACTCTAGGAAAGTTATAAAACATATTCTGGTCATATATGTTTGTCCTTCAGTTTGCTAGATTGTTGTGTGTTATTTGCTATTTAAACGCACTTATTCACTATTTGTTTCTTGTTGTAACTCGATGACAATCGTTTTCAGCTTATTTCAAAGCCAACATGTAACGTAGTTATCAACTAGAATCACAGGATAAATGGTCATTGAAAAAGAAAGGAATTCGAATAATTGATTTTTGGTGGAAGGTATAATGAGTACTTTTTATCAGGGATTAACATCATCTAAACTAGAAAGATATGGACAGTATTTATCCTTGTCTTGGACTTCTCAATCGCCCTGTACTCTATGTGAGGTTGGACCAAGAACTGCCAGGTGGTTGTCACTCAACTAACCTGGGTGAGATCCAAATCATCCCAGTTTTTTAATCCCTGTCAAGATTTCTACGCAATACCTGCTCTAGTTCTCAGGTTACAGCTTACTATTGGCATTTACTAAGAACTCACACAATAAAATAGAAAGCACAACTTGACAAAAATCATCAATCCGAGCTACAAATCTTATCCGTTATATCTAAAAGAAAACTGTTAGCTTAATTCGACTGTCGTTTCTCTTTTGTTTGCTTTTCGATTACTGCCAACAGCAGTAGTAACAGCGCTATTATTCTATTAATACTACTGCTTTATTATTAACTTCAGTCAGCAGTAAATATGGAGAAAATGAATCAGTTATGTTCAGCGGTCTATTGCGATGAGTATACACTCAGTCCAAGTGTGGAATCTATGGAAGAAGCATGCATAAGACTTGGATTCAAGGTAATGATGATTGTAATGTTTTAATGAGTTTTTAACGTTTATCTACTGACTAATACTTAATATAAATAGTTGGTTAGTCATTACTATAGTATTTCATTTGATAGTAAATCCGAAAAATATCCAAGCCCAGCCACTTGCGCACCTGGAAACAGTTCTACTAATGAGGCACCCACGAGTAAAGCGTCTTGAGTACAATGAGGGTAGCAGCATGAATACCTTTTTATTAGTCATCCGAGAAAACCAATACTCATATAATCAATACTCATACCAATACTATATATCTGACACATATTCAAAAGTCTTCATATCTTTCACAGTTGTCTTTTAACCCTGCGTATGGTTGAAGGGCATAAGTAATATGTAATATGTCACTGTTGGATGTCAAGTAGTGATGCTGGCTTGCCGGCAAAGTACCGTGCAACTCAGATGAAGCCAATTGTGATTGTATTGTGATTTTTTTGAAATATTAGAAAGCCACGAAGACTACAGAATGTGTATTGTGGGATGGCATATCGTAATCTGTTTACTCCACTACATCTCATCACCCTTAATTCTTTTCTAGATTCTGAGGGTCCATTTCAGTGTAGAATAATAATTTCAAATGGAATAACTGTTAGGAGTTTTGAAGCATTAAATAGTTGTGTGAGTGAAACTGAATTACCAGAGGCTTTTGTTTCAGAAACACCAAGCAACATTGTTTTATTACTATTGTTTTTGAACTTAGTAACACAAGACAGTACTGCAATTTACTAGCTTACTATAAGTGTGTGTGTGTGTGTGTATGTGTACGTGTCAAATTCAGGTCGAAGTAGGTGAAGCGCATGGTTTAAAGCTGTCGTTCGTTGGTTGCTATTCGGAGAACTATGCCAACAGGCAACAAATGTTGTCATCACTATAGTATAGCATAGTTCTACCTACGCACTTTTCCATGTACTTTTGGACATACCTCACATGCTACCTCATATTGTTGTTTATGCGGGAATATTTTTAGCATCGAGTGAAAATAGCAGTGATAGGGTAAAAATTCAGTATTTTTTTCTGTCTATATGTTGCATTGATATCTCAGGTTTCTGAAAAACTTGACCTTTTTATTTTACCTAGACTTCACAAATTTGTCAGTGCTTGATAATTAATCACATTTGTGCTAAAAACTAGGAAGGGAAGTATACAAATGGCTGTTCATTAGGAAAAAATTACAAGATAAAAATACCTTGGCGTTTTTGTTAGTGTAGTATGAAGGAAGGTATTCTTGTAAAGTATACAGATGTCTGTAATGAATAAATTGCTAAAGCGCTAACCACTTATTAAATCACACTGTACACTTAATAGTCGTTCATTTTAAAAACAACTATCAGATTGCCTAAGAGAGATAGATCCAGTCTTTTCCTAGGTTAATACTGAAGCATTAGATATTGATGCAATTGAAAAAGGTGTATTATAATCTCACTTTAAGTTTCCTAACGTTAAAAGAGAAACTAATTTTGATTTGGTCTAGGCAACTGTTTACTATTCAACACGGTATCATCAATGCTATGGCTGACCGTTATTTTTTACGACCTGAAACAAAAAAAATAGGAGATAATAACGCCTTTTCAACTTGTTATTATAGTGTTGCTTTGTTCGTTTATTTCAATTTCGCATGTTCATGTTTATTACAGATACCAACAGATCCATATGCTGATTTTCAAGAGTCTCCAGGTTCTCTTGCATTTCACAGCATACACGCGTATGCAATGAAGAATAAAAACAAGTTAATTGATATGCTCAGTTATGCTTATCCACTTCAAAAATATGACAGTTTTACAAGTTATCGTAAATCAAATTTCCTGTCTGAATTCCCTTCTCCTCCACTGAATACTAACAATTCTCTCAATTTACTTAATAATCTGTATGATGACGGTGTTGGTGGTGATACTGTTAGTGGTGGCTATGGAGTTGGTGTAAGCGGTAAGACTTCTCGTGTACATCGTCACTTCTCAGCTGTTGATTCAAATTATATCAAATACCTTTTGAATACTACTCATTCACGTTATGATAGTGAATACTGTTATAACACTGGACGACGTTTTACAGTTGACTCGTTGTCATCCAGTCTACAACAAACTTATAAACCATTCAAAGGCATGGTTAGTAGTCATTCCTCGTCTTACTATTATTATTATCCTCCCACTTCACTAACTGAAAAGAGGCCGTTATTTCCAGTAATTGAAGCTGCCAATGCTGTGACAAGAATGCTTTGCGAATTGATCTCAGTTCACAGTAAGTGGCAATGATATTTGTAATATACTACTTTTTCCCTGAATATTAAGTAGCATAATAGGAACCGACTGGTCACTTAACGGATTTTTTCATTGCATTACTAATGAACGACGACGTTATAAATTTAGTACATTTTTTTCATTCAGTAACAATAGTTCATGTTATACATGTTTGACCAGTTGTAACCGTACAACCACCCACTGTTTTGACATTTTATTATCAAGTCTTGATGAAGAACACTGAATTTATTTCAATCGTCTATGCAGAATGAGTTGATTTGAGATCGGCTTCCCAACGGACTGACGGCACACATTCATCGGATTTCATTAGACCATCAACGTTAACGTGTTATATAGACAGAAATTAGATTCTATTTTGTACTTTCAGAAGTGTAATTTTTCTTACTTCCCAGTGGTTCTCGCCTGGTGTCATTATTCCATAAATGTGATCTTAAAATGTTTAATTTTTTGGATTGATATGAGTCTTCTCAAATCTTAGTTAGTTTAAGTAATGATACTAATTACCGCATGTTGTAGCCTGCTCTTCATTCTAATGATAAAATAGTCTACACTCGTTAGAATGCATCCTTCAAAGAAAACTGTTACCTTCACGTTACAATCGGGCCTACTTTTCTTGATAACTCAACAAGGATCTAACCACGCAGCTGTTGTGAATCGAACAGTGGGTGTGGAAACAGTTAGCATAATACTATAAACAACTTGAGTAATTATTATTATTAAAATCCATGGGGAAATTGTACTTCTGGCTGCGTAGTTAGGCGATAGTAACGAATTATATGCGTTAGATGACTAACCATACTACTTTTTGGTCCTGAAAAAGAGGTTTCGCTCTACAATTTCATTTTGTCTTGTAACGAATTTTCCCTTGCCGGTATATGACTTCATCAAAGCTATCGTTTAGACTTTGTGTACCCATACTTTAGAGAGACGACCATCTTAGACAAATATATACAGCGATCGCACTGCATGCACTAACATGCAATCACACAACAGGGTGGGACAGTTCTAGAAAGTAATATAGGTAGGTGGAGGGAGAGTTTGATCGCTGAATCTTCGTTCATCGAATCTACATCACACGCTTGCAGTAAGAATGAAACAATGTCAAAAGCAGAGTTATGTGAAATTACCAATTAGGTAAAAGTGTAACGGAAAAGACTTGGCAAAGGACCTATATTCAAGGGAAAACATTCATACATTCATAGCCACATCAAAGGCCGTTTAGGTCAGAAGACAATAAACTGTTCTGATTGGTTGGCAATTGACCCAAGTTGTCCAATAAGATTACTTAATATCCACAACGTAAACTCTGCAAGTATTGACTTAAAATGTTGTTTCAGTTTTGGCCACTTTTTATCAATTTGCATCACGCTACAAAAGGATAGGAAATAATGAGAATCGCGTGTCGGTGGCACAGTGGTGGAATGCTCGCCAACCACTACACATGTGGTTCGGGGTTCGATCCCCGGCCGACACACTCCTTTACCTCGCTAAGTCAGCACTAAGATTGTTAAAGAGGTAAGGATGGGCATGAGGCTAGCAACCCCATCCTGTAAAAATAAACACCACTGCTACTGAAATTGCAAGCCTGTAGCTTGAAGCCGCGTATGTTCCACTGGGAACGTAAAGGAATAAAAGAAAATAAACCAAAACCTGACAATTATGTGAGTACCTGGGTATTATTCTGAGCAATAAATTGTGCTCGAGACTTTACCAGTAAATAAATAATATTATGTTTTGTAAAACAAAATAATTCTATGGTGGAATCGACTTTTGGGTCGACTAAATACCTCTATGCGCATGTTAGTTATTTTCAAGCAACACTTAGACTATAGGTGATTGTGAATTTACACAGAGCTTCTGAAAGGTACATAATTTACTTCTTCGTTATATTCAGATCCAGGTGATTTCAGTTGGAATAAAGAAACCTGCTTTAGAAGTCAGTTATATACTTTTAATTCAGTTGATAGATGGAATGAGATTTCCAGTTTTGTTGTCAATAACAGTTCAACTGTAAGTGCACATAGTTAGTATTGACTCAATTCCGAAATTATCTTCATTTAAGATAACAATAAGTCTGTTTAACAAATAGACAGGATGAAATAAACAGAAGCGAATATTGTAGGAAGAAATAATCTAGGATTTTAAGAATCGACCTTATTTTGACTCTACGTGTGTTATCTTGAATCAACTAATTTACGTAGAATTATATCATAAGTGATTTAATTTCAAGCCCTTCGAAAGGTACTAGCAGAAATAAATGAAATATAGCTCAAGATTATCTGGGGATTTCTAAAAGCAGTTTCTTTTGACACTGAAAGTATACTCACAGTTGTCCTAAACCAGATACTCAGTTTTTCATCTTTTTATTAACTTTTTAACACATTGTCAGTGAAATCCATCAACTTCTCATAAATTGGATGCATATAATTTACCTTGTTTATTATCATTTTTATTCCCTAGGTGAAATTTATGATTCTCAGTTTATTATAGAAGAGGATGCGAATGAATTTTGTCTGCCTTCACTTTTCTATCCAATACTCTTAAGTTATCATGGTCTGGGTGAAACACTATTTGAGGATTTATTCGACTGCGTCTTTTCAACATTTTTCTATACATGGACTCAAATGAAAGCTGTTCCGGAAGATTTAGTTGGAGTAAGTTTTCTAATTAGCTTATATATATATATATATATATATATATATATATATATATATATATATATATATATATATATATATGGAGAGAGGGAGAATTATAAAATTGTTGATTGTATATATTAATGTGCAAGATGTTATCTATCCTACTCGTACTCGTCTACTAATCACGTGTGATTTTTCTCTTCTGTTCAACTTATCATTATTAATCGAAAGAAATTATAAAGCACGAATATTTACATTTCATGTTGATATAATATATATAATTTCATGTTGCAGTAGATTGGATAATGCGACAGACAACGGGAAATGAGGAAACAGGCATAAAATGGACTCAAAACTTGGAGGATCTGAACTTCGCCGATGATAGATGTCTGATTTCCCACAAGCTGGAAGATATGCAAGTGAAAAGCAACAAGCTGGCAGAAGAAGGATCTGGATAAGATAGGACTTCCTTCAGGTGAACATAGATAAAACAGAGGTGATGAAGATTCCTGGCCAACACCATCAACAGCAACAGCAGCAACAACAACAGATAACAATCAGCCAGGATGAATGGGAGGAACCTGAGAGAAACAACCTCATTTATCTACCTGGGAAGCATCGTTTCAACTACAGGCGGATGGAACTGATGAGGATATCAAAGCAAGGGTCGGGAAAGCAAGACAAGCTTTCATTACTATCAAGTCTGTGTGGAGGTCAACAGCACTCAGCACCAAAGATAACTTTCAGATTTTCAACTCCAATGTGAATTCACTCAGTGCTACTGTACGGATCAGAGACTTGGCCAGCGCGTCATAAAGAGCATCTCAAACAAACCACAGACCTTCATTAACAGTTGTCTTCGCTCAATCCTACTCAAGATCAGATGTCCAGAAAAGATCAGCAACAGAGATCTCTGGGAGCGAACCAACCAGGAACCGACTGTGAGACAAATAGGCAGGAAGAAATGGAGATGGAATGGCTGGCCATACACTGAGGAAACCATCAAGTGACATCACTAGACAAGCCATCACTTTAGTGGAACCTGAAAGGGAAGTGGCGAGTTGGTCGTCAGTCTGATGAGGGTGGGGTGACTTGGAGGAGGTCATGTGAAGAGGAGATGGAAGCATGTGGGCAGACTTGGAGCGGGGTGAAAAAGTTGGCAGAAAACCGAAGGGAATGGAGACGCACAGCTGAAGGCCTATGTTCCTCTAGGAATTAAAGGATATAATAATAATAATGTTGATATAACGAATAACTTACTTCTCATAAGATCCTTTATCTCCCCATAGGCTTCTCTATCATAACAAAAGGGAATAAATTAAGTCTTGTAATATGATACAAAAGAATAATATACATCGAGCAAAGAAAAAAAGCAAATAATATTAGTTCAACCAGTAGATAACGTGTACTTTAATACTAGCCAACAGCTTGTTGTACCTGGCGACATAAAAGTAGTCTTCATTTATAATATCGATTTCTAACTGAACGAAACCTTGTTATTATGTGTGTATGTGTGCTAATAATAAACACATGTATTGATGGCATGTTCCAATTGTGATTAGTAAAGTGGTCTGAAGGTTGGTTACCACCTGACAGTTACTGACATACAGGTGCAGCATGATATTGGCAACTGTGTTGTATGTGCATTGCCACTCATGCATACAATTCCAATATATTTTACTGCCATCCTAAATGAACAGCAGCTTGCACGTATGACGCTATACATGATTAATAGTAGGCTGAGTGATTTGTGAAGTGTTCTTGAAAATGAAAAAAACACGATCTAATTTAAGTTCATTAAACAAAAAGATTGATCGAAGATGACTGAATGAAGATTTTCGCTATATTAAAGTTTATAAATGTAGTAACAGAATTTCCTGTCAATAAAGTAGCTATTTACTGGTTGGAAACACCAAGCCATCAATTTTAGTGAACTGAACTGTAGGTAATAAAAGGTAGTTACTAGATATCTTCACTTTGTTTGTGAATATCAATGTTTTTAATCGCTTTTCTTTTACTATGTATCATCTGATGACTTTACTTTTTCCTTACTAATGAGTAGAACTTTAGGATCTCATCCTTTGTATCTCTGAAACATGCTTGCAAAAAACCCATGTGTAGTAGCCATTCGTTTCACCCCATCTGACAAACATGACGAATCTAACAAATTCACTCTATGCGTGTCAGAGGATTCCTTGACTTGTTTTTTCGCGCACCTAATATATTATCTCAGAAATATTCAGCATATGAGTGTAAACGTCATTTATGTTTTTCCCGTCTGAGTGGATTCGTAATAATAAGGAAAATAAGCGATATCTTTCCGTAATCTTCGCTTACAAGCCCAACGATAACAGTTGGGACAAGATAGTGGTTGTATTTTATCAGAAGCTGACTAGTTAGTTTTGTCGTAAAAGCTAAACACTTATTTTGGTAGGTGATTTTAATGCTCAAGTAAGGAAAGTGAGCCAGTCCGAAAAGTACATTGATGTCTACGGATTCCTATGCTAACGAATCGACTACTGTTTTGTCGCAATAACTATCTGTTCTTGGTCAGTACTAATCTCAGACATGTTGGCGACTGCCAAGACCAAACTAATGATGGACACTAATGGACCACGTAACCATAGGTTATTGATGGGGAAGACCACTCGCTATTAGAACAGTTATGTGGATTTGATCATTTATTAGTTGGTGTGCTTTGATTTTGAAAGGTAAACAGATATAGGAAACAAGTAGCTGTGGAGCCAGTACATTAACTAAGGTATTAATCTCTGTATGGCATCTCGACCCCGTTTCATCAGATTGGCATAGATCTCTGATCACCCCAGTGAGGAAGATAGGTGAAAAATTTTCCAATAATAATCAGCTCAACTAACATATTGTCTAGGAGCCTACGATTTTCATAATGCAACATAAGGAAAATTTAGTTACCTTTAACTGTAGGTGCTCGCCTTCGATTTCTTGTGTTAGGTGAAGCACTATGGTCAGTAATAATGAGGCTACGTGAGGAGTGTTAAATAAGAATGAAAAATCAATGAGTGTGTGAAGCTTCATTGGTTTAGGTAGTTAAGTAGTCAAAGCCATCTGCTTTCTCGAACAGCAATATTAAAGGGAAAAAGGTAGTAGTGATCAGGCCCAAACATAGCAGTGACTCATGAAATGTTTGAATATTTGTTTGAGCTACTCAAGGAGGAGGTGCAGGCTGTTTGGCTGAGGCTATCGAAATGTTAAGAAGCAATGATTTTAGACAGTTGGCACATAAGTAGTCATTCCTTACCACCATCCAGATTCTGAATTTGTTCACTAAATCTTCGTATAATTCTTCTTTAAATTTTCATCTATTATAGTTCCATCACACTTCTTTTCCCTGGTATTGTGTGTACTTTTTTGAAGTGCGTAGTAGTTTGAACTGGTTTACGTTTGTGCATTTAGTACATAGTGCACATGGACTACAACTACACCTGTTACACGGCTTTTCTGCACCAAAAAAGAATTGACACGTGATTCGCATTACTTTTAGATTATAAACTGTGTAGAATATCTACAGGCGAAATCTACTGAAGGCAACAAAATTACAAATCTTGTCGTAGGTTTATTTTGCCTGATTTTTAGAATTGTGTTCATACATAATCGACTTTACAAAGTGATGACCTCGTGAATTCGGTAAATCATGTTTCAGACAGTTGTTATCGCAAAACATAATGACTGATTGCCAACTATTTTCCTCACAAAGATGGTTTTGCTCCACCAAGCAGAAAATAAAGATTCTGTCTACAAAGTCTATGAGATTCCATTTAGTCTGATGAAAGTTGCCACCCATGTGATTCGTCTACTTCACCCTAACACATGATGAGATTCTGTGTTGTGATTTCAGGCATCCTTAACACAAAGTCATCCAGGTTTAAATACAAGCAAGCCTGATGATGTAGGTTTCTGCTTCGTAATTGAAAGATTTGAATATTGTAGATAGATCGACTCCAAATCTGCAGATTATAATAGTTGTGTGATTGTATAAGCTGGATGTGATTATATTCTTAAATTCTGCTGAAGTTATATGCCTTTATGAAGGTGTTTATATTGGTATTCTGCTTCTAGACTCGCTCTTAGGATACTCTTATTGAGGCATAAAACAACACAGGTACTGGTAGTAAAATAAGTTTTCTTTATACGAAACTGTAAAGTTAGCCTCTTATATGTTTGATTTTCCAATGCCTATTTAAAAGACGATCAAATTGAAGTATGCGCTGAAGATGTCACCCAGTAGGGTGATGAAAGCTTCGCAAATTAACCATCCAGCTCAGAGAACAAAACCACATCAAAAGACGATCATTTTGTGCAGCAACAATCAATTCTGACCTTCTGTCCAGTTGTGAACCATTCATCAAGCGTAGAAGAATCTGAATAACACTGTGGCCATTTGAACACTGTTACCTTAACACCATCATACACATCAAATGAAATCACTGAGCGAGCGATGTGTGTTGATGTTAGGCTTCATGAAATAGCGAATGAAAGCTGTACAAAAATACGTTAGTAACGTTTTGAATCTCTTCTACCAATACATACTTTCCGTATTTTCTCACACTGACTACGTACGTAGGTGAGATGTTGTGATTGGTAATCATTCCTTGTTCAAAATTCTCTGAAAACTGATGGTAGAATACATTATTTGCTAGATTATTATTTACAGTAATCCTAAATATAATATTATAATTAAAAAAATAAATAAAAGCACGGTAAAGCTGATTTAGTACGCCTATCTGGCTGGAACTGTTTGTTTATCATTTTATGAGCTTATGTATGTGTGCATATGTGTTGTATAGTAGATGTTGATCGATCCTCTCTCTCCGATTGAAGAATGCACTAACGTGTGTGTACACACTAACGTACATACGTAGTCTCAATAACTTATCCGAAAATAATGAATACAGACATAAATCCATTAGAAGTACAAACACATTTTAAAAGACTAGCATACAGTAAGGGACAGTTCATTTTTCCAGATTCCACTTATCGTAGACATTAAAGGATGATATCATATGCGTTTATCAGTTAGGCAATAAAATATGCATTTGTAAGTTGTCGTTATTTATTATTGTTTTTTACTTTAAAGAGGATATTTGTAAGAAGAATAAGTGTTTTTATTACATAGCGTCGATAACTCAGTTTTAATCCTGATTTTGTACACAATACTTACCTCACTTAAACCTGTACTGTATGCAATTTACAAAGTATACTGTAGCTGCAATGGTAATCTGAACAATTTTTATTGTTTCATACTTATTTCAAAAAGATTTGTCAAATGGAAATATTTGTTCTTTGTCTTAAAGTATACATTGTGAGTAAGACCTCTATGGTCATGGATATCGTCATCCAGTTTACTTATTTCGTGTATTTCTTCTTATTCGCTTAAACTTTGAAAACTAATCATTGACAACTTCTGTCAAATACTGCTCCACTGATGAACAACATTCAAGTTGGGTCGAGTGTACATTCACAAGACATGAGTTTGTAGTTAATAACAGTAGTCTAGGTACTTCACACTTAAGTGTTTTATACTGCTTATTAATAAAGTAAATTTAAGTGTTGATTTGTAGGGATTTGATTGATTACAGGATTTTCATCATGAGTTGACATTAGTTAAAGAACCATTGGAAAACCTGGGAGTACTGGATAGCTGTTTCATCCTAGTTTGGGACTCTTCATAAGTACGCACCCACCAGGTGCGTGACCAGTAGGGTGCAGGAGGTCGGGTGTGAGGAAAAATACTCGCCGAAGACACTGGCTGGGGTCGCGCTATGTCGTCAATTGGCAGAAGTTAGAATTCGTTGGCCATTGTAACGGGTCCCAGTGGCTTAATGGTATACGAGCTCGCCTTGTAACCAGGAGGTCCTGGGTTCGAGCCCTGTGGTGTGGGTACGTACTGCTGAAGAGTCCCAAACTAGGACGAAACAGCTGTCCAGTACTCCCAGGTTTCCAATGGTTCTCTAACCAATGTCAGCTCATGATGAAAATCCTGTAAAGTAAATTTACCTTGAAAGAATCTTAGTTTTATGGTGAAAGTTGAACTTGTAGGTTAAATAAACTAATTTCAGTTGGTTATGCTTAATATCGAGTATGAAATGTGAGATTATGCACACTGTAAATAATAATCTCTCCTAACTAAGCTTTGGTAGCTTCCTTACTTTTTAAAACAAAGAAAAACAGTAAAGTAACAAAAGGTGTGTTACGACGTCAATTTATGTCCAGGGGTTTATATGTTTCCCTAGAATGATTTGACAAATAGGTATGACACCATTTGGGGTGGAATTCATCTGGGTCGGACACTGAGGAGCACTGATCAAAACAGATGATAATTGCGACAAGTATTCATGGATAGGAATTTTGGGAGATATAAATTTGTTCGTCATTAAATAAACTGACTGGTATTGAACGATTAAAACAATCCATTTAGAATGCACATTTTTTAATAATCTGATCAGTTAAAGGAGATATGTCATTACTGCGTTTTAGTTTTGAAATATGCAACATGTGTTAGTCGTTAATTTTTCCACTTGTTCATTATGTCATTCTCGTTCATATTCATTAGTATTGTAGCATACAATAAAAAAAAAGATTTTGGTGATAAAAGTATGTAACATTTACAGGCTAATTTCATGCAGAAATGTTGTTTTCTGAAAGACTTTTTGTATTTCTGTTTATTTCCATTGTGTATGGTCGCACTTTCATCATGGCGTTATTTTATTCTAAATACAAACTGTAAACATTAAATTAAATGATGTGTCATGGAATAGTAAGAATGACTGACGGGTGACCGCCAATTCACTTTACGCTTCCTATTTCCCTTAAGTTGGATTTAGTGGGATCTACTGTGTAATTGGATGAACTCAGCATGATCGACAGAGTGACATTTCTGTGTCGGACATTATATATATATATATATATATATATATATATATATATATATATATATATATCGGCCTACAGTTTAATATCAGATCCCTCCAATTATATTAAAATGTTGTCAACAACAGCAACATCCAGCGTCAATCACCATCAGCGGGAGGAATTTGAAAGAGGTTACTTCATTCACTTATCTAACATTGAGTATTGTCTCAACTACAGGAGGAACGGACGAGGATGTCAAATCGAGAATTGGGAAGGCGAGAAATACATTCATCAACCTGAAACCAATCTGGAAATCTTCGTCAGTCAGCATCAACAACAAAATTCGGTAGGATTTTCGATACAAACGTCAAGTCAGTCAGCTCTTCTATACGGATCAGAAGCTTGGTGGGCGGGTCACAAAGAATATTTCCAACAACCTGTTGCAGACCTTCATCAACCAACAACTGTCTTCGCTCTTTACTGAAGATCAGATGGCTGGGCCAGAAAGAATCATCAACAAGAAACTATGGGAAGAAACAAAACAAGAATCAATCGCCCAACAAATATGCAGGAGAAAGTGGAGATGGACGGACACTCGCTGAGGAGACCGCCGCTGGGTGACATCTCGCGTCAGGCCATTCTTCGAGTGGAACCAGGCCGAAAGGGAAGCGGCCAGTGGGACGTGACATGGAGGAGATGGTGTGAAGAGGAGTTGAAAGAGTATGGACTAAAATGGATGCAGGTGAAAAGTACAGCAGAAGGAAGACAGAAGCAAGTGGAGACGTGCAGTTGAAGCCTTATGTTCCACTAGGAACCCAAGGGAACAATAATAATAATACTAGTATAGTGAATGAGAACATTGCACAGAAGTGATACTACGAAGAACTGATATGAGTGTAGGAGAAGGAATAACTGAAAAAGGATTAGCGAAAATGTTCAGAGTCTGAAAATGACAAGGAGTGAATATATTTGTTTCTTTTTGGTCATGTTACCTAGACCGGGTAACGATTGCTTCATGTTTACTTCATTATATCTCTCAGACTAATAATGGTCAGTTGACATTATTCATGGAGGATATAGTGACTCGATATGTACAACAAATATCTTAAGCACGTCAATGGTTGAACAATCATAAGGTCATTGGTTCTCTGATTACCATCAATGCCAAATATATTGCTTCACTTAGCATCAACAAATGTTTGAAAGCACTTATGATTGAAAATCTGTAGTCTTTTCATCTGATTTATTTCAAGTTGATGTTATACAGTCGTAAAGTAGAACAGGGTAAAATGCTGAACAGTAGAGAATGGTTAGTTTCAATCATCGCTTTTGGATGTAGGATAATTATTTAAATGTAGAATGTACTGTTAATTATCAAGATTGTAGTGTTATTTGTGTCTGTTCGTCGTCTTTATGTCTTTCAGTTATATCAACTATTGCTTATGTCATACTTTTATAGGTTGCTGTACACGTTTACGGCAGATGGTAGTTAGGTTTAACAAATAGTCTTTCTCCATACTTTTTTTTATTTCCCAAGAGACTTTTTATTGTTATATATTTAGCCTTTTTATTACAATTTGTACAACGAAGTTATAAACCTACTTTCGCTTTTCCTTTTGCCGTTTTATATTCTTAAGTTATTTTCTCCTTTCTTTCTACCCAAAAATGAAATCAACAGATTTTGTGTGTTGTCCGGGAACAGATTAATAGAATCTTGAAAACTACTCCAATCTCATTTGAAGAATTCGAAAAGTCTCTGGCTAATTTCAATCCTTACGATGTGCCATCTATGTGGTCGAAACGTGAAAATAATATGCGTATGAATATGCTACACAATCATCCAGCTTTAATGTGAGTCTTTAGTGTGAATGTTTTTTTTGGAAAATTGTCTGTCTTTTTCTATGCTCGTTTTTATTTCACACGATTCTGATAAAATTAGTAATCTGAAGAGAAATTTATGTGAGGTGCAGCAAAATGTGTGTACTGATGTAGATAGCTATTCGTGATCTGATGCTTCTTTAAGGACTTTATTTAGAACTGTAATGATGGCTTCATTATGCAGTAATCCATCCACCTGAATTAACTACGTCACTTTATATTGCTGTATTTCACATAACCAATTGAGCAGTGAGAGCGTCGATGGCACACCGGTAGAATGCTCGCTAAACACTCCACACGTAGTTCAGGGTTCGATCCTCCGGCCAACCCACTCCTTTACCTCGCTAATCCACCAATAAGACTGTTAAAGAGAGAAGGTTCGGCATGAGACTGGCAACCCCGTCCCGTCCCGTAAAAATAAACACCACTGCTACCGAAACTTCAAGCCTGTAGCTTGAAGCCCCTTATGTTCCACTAGGAACGTTAAGGAAGTGATATATATATATATATATATATATGGTGGTCTCTCTTTCTGTTTGCTCGCTTAGTCTGTGACCATTTCACTTTGATGAACCTGTCTCCTTTAACAATGTATATTCTCCTTATATTATATTATATATAATATGAGTGTTTGTTGACAGTCCGTTGCTTGGTGACATATATCCATATATGGTGGTTGTTGACATGTCTGCTATATTTTGCTATGTATATATGGATCGATACTTCATTATAATTAGCCATTCATGTTAAGACTGTCCATTGATTTGTCCACACCCTTGTCTGGACATTCATATATATTTCGCTCTCACAATTTGTGTGACTTTACTTACTTTGGTGTGATACCACTTATTTTTTCTCCTTGTGTTTGGAAAATAGAAGTATCATCGCAAACCTAGTGGTCTTCTGATTTCCGTCTTTCTTGCGTCAGGACTATTAAATTCTCGACCAGTACATAACAATAATTTGGCGAGCAGTACACAACAGGAAGAAAAAATCTTGAGCAGTGATGTTGCCAAAATAGCTAGAATGCTGGCTAAAGGAAAATAATATCAGAGAGCTGTAATGCAAACAGAAAAAGTGATCAGGGAATAGAGATTTGTAATGACAATGTTTTAAGATTTTGTATTATGATAAAAAGTAGGTGAATCTGTGATACTGTGATTGATGATATTCTATTTTATCGAAAGTTATTCACCCTAAATCGCCTAGCTTATTTTAATAAAATAACTAACACGTGGAAGCCTTCGAAGTGAGGACGGGAGTGCGACAAGGCTGCCTACTATCACCAATGATCTTCCTGATTGCAGTAGATTGGATAATGCGACAGACAACGGGAAATGAGGAAACAGGCATAAAATGGACTCAAAACTTGGAGGATCTGAACTTCGCCGATGATAGATGTCTGATTTCCCACAAGCTGGAAGATATGCAAGTGAAAAGCAACAAGCTGGCAGAAGAAGGATCTGGATAAGATAGGACTTCCTTCAGGTGAACATAGATAAAACAGAGGTGATGAAGATTCCTGGCCAACACCATCAACAGCAACAGCAGCAACAACAACAGATAACAATCAGCCAGGATGAATGGGAGGAACCTGAGAGAAACAACCTCATTTATCTACCTGGGAAGCATCGTTTCAACTACAGGCGGATGGAACTGATGAGGATATCAAAGCAAGGGTCGGGAAAGCAAGACAAGCTTTCATTACTATCAAGTCTGTGTGGAGGTCAACAGCACTCAGCACCAAAGATAACTTTCAGATTTTCAACTCCAATGTGAATTCACTCAGTGCTACTGTACGGATCAGAGACTTGGCCAGCGCGTCATAAAGAGCATCTCAAACAAACCACAGACCTTCATTAACAGTTGTCTTCGCTCAATCCTACTCAAGATCAGATGTCCAGAAAAGATCAGCAACAGAGATCTCTGGGAGCGAACCAACCAGGAACCGACTGTGAGACAAATAGGCAGGAAGAAATGGAGATGGAATGGCTGGCCATACACTGAGGAAACCATCAAGTGACATCACTAGACAAGCCATCACTTTAGTGGAACCTGAAAGGGAAGTGGCGAGTTGGTCGTCAGTCTGATGAGGGTGGGGTGACTTGGAGGAGGTCATGTGAAGAGGAGATGGAAGCATGTGGGCAGACTTGGAGCGGGGTGAAAAAGTTGGCAGAAAACCGAAGGGAATGGAGACGCACAGCTGAAGGCCTATGTTCCTCTAGGAATTAAAGGATATAATATTAATAGTAATAATAATAAACTAACACGTCTCTAAGCAACTGATAATTTTTCAGAAGTTTCATCGCTCTTATTGAACACACTTTTTTTATATAAATTTCTTACTGTTCTCACTTTCAGTTCTGTTACATGTAGCTGCAAAATTTCTGTTTATGTTAAATATATGAGAGGACAGAAAATTTGATTTTGCTCAATTAACTCTTCACTAGCAGCCATTAACGATAATTTTCTAGAAAATAACTGGTCTCAAATTGACCTTGATTACCTACTTTCTCATTGATTTTGTCATCATTCTGGATGATATTACATAACACAACTGTGTATGAATAAATTCTTGAGTTAAATTTCAACTTTTATTGATTAGTGAGAAATGTAATACAGCTAGTGCAGTATATTTTAATTGTAAATCAGTACTGATTCTATTCTGTGTGGAATTAAGTTATTACAAATGTACTGTTGTACTTGAGAGAAACGTGTCACTTAAGTGCCTAACATCATTAATAGGTACTTCTATTGTGAACAAAATTTATTTTGATAAATTCTCAGTGTTATACAGTAATATTTATCAGTAAATATTACTGTATAATACGGTGAGTCTTTATCAAAATGAAATTTTATGCACAATCGCATTATACTCTATCACAGTGTACAAGCTCTATTCTTATATATCATTAATAGATAGGTAGGCATAGATAAGATAAAGTCAATTATAGTATGAGTTCTAAATAAATGAACCATAGAATTTGTTACTAAATTGTACTTTCTATCCCTATTTGTCCAAAACATTTATTCAGATTTACATGACTTAACTAAATTTTTTGTGTCAACTGAATATTCAGTGAAGCTACAGCCAAATAATCTTCGTAATCGAGTTGAAGCCTTGTGCTTTTAATAAGCATCTTTTTTTTGTTCCTTTACGTTTCCAGTGGAACATAGGGGGGCTTCAAGCTACAGGCTTGAAGTTTTGGTAGCAGTGGTGTTTACTTTAACGGGACAGGACGGGGTTGCCAGTCTCATGCCGAACCTTCTCTCTTTAACAGTCTTATTGGTGGATTAGCGAGGTAAAGGAGTGGGTTGGCCGGAGGATCGAACCCTGAACTACGTGTGGAGTGTTTAGCGAGCATTCTACCGGTGTGCCACCGACACACTAATAATCCCAGAGTGCTAGTAAATGCCACCGGAAGTGTGTGGCTTCCTACTGTCTCAATGGGCATATTTGTTGTCGCTGAACTGTCTTGATATTCACTTCAGTGAGGATGAGATGCCACATGTTCTTATCATTTTAATCTTCATAACAAAATGTACACAGTATACTGAATAATGTCTCAATTATTATTTATTAAATGTGAATTATTGACAGCTGTAGAACTTTTAGAAAGGAGTAATGATGATGATATCGGCAGTTTATGGTTAATTCACTAGACACATGCTGTGTTACTTCAACAAATAGAAACGTAAGGAAAAATGACAAATACAAACAGCTGCTTAGTTCTATAGTTTCTTATGACAAATTCTTTAATGTTGTTCAGTCACCAATTATACAAACTTACTCGGCTTAATTTTGTCTTTTCAAATACTTATTATCACTGGTTGTTAATGTATATACCTTATCGTTCGGTAAGAATTTTACTCAGTCAAACTACATTTCTGTACTTATATGCCCGTGATCTTCTTTCTGTACGACACGACGGTTTCTAGGTAAATTGATAAATTTGGATCTCTAATATAGTTTGATGTCTTAAGTATTTAAGTAGTAATGCAAATTACCTCTGCATATCTGTGGGCGACCTGTAAAAGTGAACATCGTAATATTTAGATCTGTATAGTGCGTTCTTTTATTACTTATGTTTTTCTGTAGTACATTCTGTTAGATGGATTGCTTTTTAGCAGTTGTTTTGTATTCTATTTATCCTAAACATGATTTATCCTAAGGTAGATGAAATAAGAGCTGTTCAACACGTAATTTTGTCGTTCATTTCACCAGAACATACGTAGAAAATAAAAAGAGAACCAGAATGAACTTAGTACAAAGTGTTTTCTGATTATTCACCGTATGCTGTTGAATGACAGCAGTAGTTACTTACTGTCAACTTTTAAATTAAGCAAAGATGATGTATAGTCAGGTTACATCCCATCATAGAGGCACACCTGCATACAGAGTCTAGTTGCGAGCTTTTTAGGTGAACAGTGTTATAGTATTAGTATTATCTGCGTGATTCTATCATTTATGTTAACGAAAGTGAAAAAGAAGATTACTGTTGTTATTGCAATCGAACTAGAGGACTTCATGACAAACTGTACATACCTCTTAATCTGTCTGTTCACACATGGACGAAATTCCAGTAAACAATAAGCAATAAATGTTGCGGAATACACAGTATGCTCATCATATTTCATTATCTTTCTAATTGCGTTGAAACTTATAAATGTAAACTGAAACTAATTGAACACATTTAATGACTGTTTTGAATACAGTTCATTGGTGATTAAAAGTTGAAATGAATATAATCATGGGTTAGTAGCATTCTGGTTAGTTATCATACATAAATTTTAGAAATGAAAAATGAAACAGACAATAAAGGTTACACAAGTTAAAATTAAGTCCATTTAAGTATAATCATTAAGGTTTGTTGTTGTTACCAGGACCACATTTATCAGGTACTAGACTAGGATCCGTACATTTATTGTATGGAGCTGATAAAATGAAGTAGGTGAAGCGGGATTCAAATCCGGAACCCGTTAACTGGAAGTTGAGTGCTTAAGCAAGTGAGCCATCTTATTAAGTTTTACTGATTATTCTTTACATATATTAACCCTAACTCACTTCAGCGACTCAGGGATTGACTTGCTACCAGGGAATAATCTCGTTGACTTAGAATATGCACACGATTATAGTCCTTCTAGACGAAGACGCTGACAAAATGCAGAGTCTTCTAAACACCTTGAGCAGCAGTCTACAAATGTTTGGCATGCGATTCGCTCCCACCAAATGCAAGATGATGTTACAGGACTGGACTACATCGACGGCTAGTTTAAAAATAGGAAGTGAAGTGGTAGAGCACGTTGACCGCTTCACTTATTTGGGAAGTACCATCAGCCAACGCCAACGGTTGATCTCTGACGAAATCTCGGCACGGATACGGGGGGCTCGTTTCACATTTGCCAGTTTACGCCGTCTCTGGCGTAGACGAGATGTTCGACTATCGACCAAAAGGCGGGTGTACTGCTCATCAGTCCGCTCCGTCCTCCTTTATGGCTAGCTGTGAGACCTGGCCATTGAGAGTGGGAGACATGAAAAGGCTGGTTAGCTGTCTTTGATCATAGGTGCCTGGGTTCTATCTCCCGTGTGAAGTGGTATAATAAGGTTAGCAATAATGAGGTTAAGCGTCGAGTTCTAGGTAAGCAGGGGAAATCAATCGACGAGGTTGTGAAGTTACATAGACTGAGATGGTTAGGACATGTGTTATGCATGCCTAGTCATCGCCTTCCTCGACGAGCAATGTTAGCGGATACAGGGTCAGTCTGGAAAAGAGCTAGTGGAGGTCAAACAAAAACATGGCACTAGTCAATGAAATTTACAACAGTTAGTCTAAGCCAGTCACGTAGGAAGGTGTAGACTTTCTGACTGGTTGGGGTCCTCGGGACGGTAAAAACCAATGGTTGGAAACAATTGGTGACATTGCTCAAAATCGTTGTCAATGGCTGGCACAGATGCATCCACTCCTTGTGACTTATGATTTCCAATGAAACTGTTTTGTTCTTCGTTACTACTATTCCTTTGTCTCACACCTCTGTTTACTGTCTATTATGCATTTCTTCTATCTTCTCTTGATTTGTGTTCTACAAGGAGGGAGTGTGGCGACTTGAACTGCCTCACATATGTGCAAAGTTCTATATCGAAAACAGACAGACAGACATATGTATTAACCCTAATCCTTCTGAACAGTTGATGAGGTGATGGAATTCGATGGGTTATTTATTGTATCTTGTGAGAATGGTTTTGTTTGTGCTCTGGTGAAATTTATCAAAGTGACCGAAATGTTGTTTCATTTTGATTAAGTGATTTCAATGAAAGTAGGCCTGTTTGTCTAGAAAGAAGTTATTCAAAAATGAATTCAACTAAGCACTCCTTTATTAACACTTAAAACCAGCTGTTTTGTTTAAACTCCTTAAGTAAAAACAGACATTTTTCACCTTTTTAGCGGCTGTGTTAACTGACTGTTTTTAAAAAGACACCTTGGAAGTAGAAAATTTCAAAACAGCGTGTAATTATTACTTGTTGACTGGTTGTTATATCGATTTTATTCATATCTGTAGACTGGTCTAAGGCGATCTTTGTTCTTCATGGAAGTTGGTGTGTGAAATATTCGAATTTCAAAGTAGTTTCTTATTGGTTTGTCCCACTATCTTTTTTGTCTTTTTTTCAAAAAATAGACAGTTACGCAATGATCTGAAGAGGCGTCATCAGGACCATGTATACGAGAACCGCTTAAATATACTGTCAACGTCAGCACCTTTAGAATATATTCCATCAAAAGGATCAAAATTATCCAGTAAGGGTGAGTAAGAAATTTGATTTGTGTTGTCTATGGACTCTTGAAAATTTTCTTGGTTTTGATTCGATTGTGATTCTGATGCCTCCACTCGATGGAGATCTCTGACAGTTACAATGAATACATCTGCTGACTATGAACTGTTGTTGTTTTGGTTGATGCTGTTGCTGCTGCTTCTGATGATGATGATGATGACTGTAGACTAAAGATTCAACTGTCAACTTCTTGGTGAAACTGTCTTTTTATTGGATAGTGAAGTACACCAAGTTAATATAGAGTTTGGTTTATTCACTTCGGCTGTATGATTTATTAAAACAGAGTACTACTCAAAGTATTTATTGCATGCTGAAGATTTCTATTTAATAATGGCTACTATACGGATCAGAGACTTGGCGAGTCATAAAGAGCATCTCAAACAAACCACAGACCTTTATTAACAGTTGTCTTCGCTCAATCCTACTCAAGATCAGATGTCCAGAAAAGATCAGCAACAGAGATCTCTGGGAGCGAACCAACCAGGAACCGACTGTGAGACAAATAGGCAGGAAGAAATGGAGATGGAATGGCTGGCCATACACTGAGGAAACCATCAAGTGACATCACTAGACAAGCCATCACTTTAGTGGAACCTGAAAGGGAAGTGGCGAGTTGGTCGTCAGTCTGATGAGGGTGGGGTGACTTGGAGGAGGTCATGTGAAGAGGAGATGGAAGCATGTGGGCAGACTTGGAGCGGGGTGAAAAAGTTGGCAGAAAACCGAAGGGAATGGAGACGCACAGCTGGAGACCTATGTTCCTCTAGGAATTAAAGAATATAATATTAATAATAATAATAATATCCTCGTAGCCTAACAATATTGACAACAAATCTGAGATGTTACCGGTTTACTTTGATTTATGCATTTTATGCCTTATTTAGGTCATTCTTGTTTTATTCACCTGTAGAAGATTTTTTGCGTCGTGAGGTTTGAAGAATGAACTCTCTTTTTACTAAAATAGAGTCACTGTTGTTATTCCGCATATATTTTTTTTTGTATCAGTTCTCCTGGAGTTACATACTAACTTTCACATTTGCCTTTTCATTCAGGGTGTATTTACTTATTTAAAGGATAAATCGTATGAGGTGCTCGCAGATAGTGACGTCAACTCCACTTTTAAGTTTAAGAAAAGCAACATATTGGTAGGAGAAGGTCGAAGTCTCATTAGCACAGTAGTGATAAGAAAACCAAGGACAATTTCATTCAATCACTTTTCTAAACTTTTTTAAAGAAAACTGTAATTAGCAATCGTGAATTTTGTTAGCTAGTAAGGTGTGATAATGATACGACTATATCACCTTAACGTCGTATATCCCAGGGATGTCTATGCGGCTCTGTATCAGGTTCTATATTATAAAATAACTGAAATATTTATCTAGCCATAGTCCAATAAAAGGTCATATTCCGTCCTTCGAAATGTGTTTAATTTTGATTCACAGAAGACGTTTCCACACTTTTTTTAAGACATCAGTGTTATTCACACCTAGTACAGTGGACTGTATACAAGCATGTTGCTAGGCTGTTCAAATACATCAGCATAAATGTGTCCAAATACCAGACCACATTCACAATCTGATGTCTTTTGAATAACTTAGTAACATGTTTCTTACTGTCACTTATCTAGATTGGCTTATGTTTTGTAGAACAAAACCTTGTAAACAGTGTTATTATTTGTATATTTACTGAAGTAAGGGAGATGATAGGCGAAGTAAATTTTTATATATCTGTGTGTGTGTGTGTGCGGTCATTGTAATACAGCTGAGAATGCCAAAACTATTTACGATTTTGGTACGTTATGTTTATATTTACGCATAAAACCAGCGAACTCATACTTTTTTTATGTGTGTAACCAACTCAGACTATCTGACTCATTCTGATGAATTACTCACTAACTTCGTGCATTCCTTTTTGTTTAAATTCCTATAATGAAGCTTGGTGATTATGTGTAAAGTTAAGCTGTTTATCAACAAGTAGAGTAGTGTAGTTTTCAACTGAAGACCTATTCATCAAACTATTAATCTGGGCTTCATCTTTAGTGAATTTTACCAGTAAAGGCGGTTAGAATGCCCCGTGAAAGCCCTGCTGCAAATAACATCATCCAAAAGAATGCTTTCAACTGAACATTGACATCATCTATAAATGTATTCTCAAGTATATACCACCATCATATAAAAACTTCTTGACTGGTTTCCAAGAGATTTATTGCTTAAATCACGGAAGTGCAGTCTTATCAAGCATAGCTTTAAGTCATGAAAAGACACCCAAGTAAATACCTTGTAGTTATTATTATTAACCTCTGTCTAGAAGATTACTCACATTTTAAGCTATGCAGTTTATTTTCTTGGTAAAATAAAAGTATAAAACAGATTAGTTATCTGTAATATTTTCTGTAACATGGATGAATTACATTCAGTAACAGTAAGGTTAGTGGTAAAGGGATAGGCAAGGAGTAACTGGTGATCGACGAAGTGGTGGAACTGAATCGATTGAGGTGACGAGGCTATGTTATGCTCATGTCGAGTCGCCGCCTTTCTTGATGAGTAATGTTGGCCAGAATAGGACTACATCGGAAAACAGCCAGCAGTAATGAAACCAAAACATGGCACCGACCCATGAATTGTTTGATTACCTGTCTGAGCCACTCAAGGAGGTGTAGGCTATCTACCTGTTTGATCATCGAGGTGTTGGCTATCAATGGTTGGAGACTGTCGGTGAAATGAATCAAAGTCACTCTCAATGGTGCAGGTGTATTCACTCATTGGTACTTTTGAAATTTTGAAATTCTTTACTAAGCTTCATCTCACTATTTTTTAATGCATGTCTTCCTCAATTGTAGTTTCATTACATTCCTTTTTTGTACTCTATGTTAACTTTTCCGTAGTGTGGTAACTAGAACTGTCACAGCATTTGTAGAAAGTGCTACGTTGAAAATTCATTTCAATTCAGTTTGCAGTTACTGCAAATGTTGATCCGTGATGAAAACAGCAAAAATCAGAGGTCGATCCAACAGTTCTTGTAGTATCAAATATGTGAAAACTCTAAGCAGTTGATTTAAGTATTGACACTGAATAGGTTGACAGGCATACAAACAAAGATGTGATGACAAATGGTGAAAGCTCTAAAGGTAGGGTGCAACACATTTATTCCAACCTAACAGCAGAGTTTTATTTTGAGAACCATCTTCACAACGCGTCAAGATTTCACCATGATTTATTTCAGCAGAAAAGACCTTTTCTTTTTGTTTTTAAAGATTATTTCAAACACAGGGATTGGAAGTGCACTTCTACATTTCACCGAATAAATTTTTTTCACTTGAAGGTCATTTCTTGTATTATCCCAAACTCATAGAGTAGCATATTTGTCATTCAATGTTGTGAGTAACACTCTTTATTTTTGCCTATTGAAACAGACAATCAGTCTTTCACCGTCCTCTTGTCAACTGATCGTAAATCTTTTGTGATAAGAGATGCAAATCAAGCCGTAAGGGAAATATGTAAGTTACTTCTTATCATAGCATCATGCTTTTTTGTTGAGAAATTGTCATGTTTATGTGTGTATCTTAAGTAACAGTTCATGTAAACTTACTTGATTTTAATTGATGAATTGGCTTAAAATACCGATGTAGATATACCAGTGGAGAAACAGTAGCTGTTCTCTTGTGAGAAAGCCCCATTATTTGCCGAATATCTATCATTTTCAAACAACAAGAAACATGTTAAGAGTGTAGGATTTACAATACAGAGGGAATATATATATATATATATATATATATATATATATAATTCCAAAACTCAGTGTATTTCAACTGAAAGAAACTGTTCACATCGTGATGTCGTGTTACCAAAGTGCTGAAATATTATTTATAAAGTTTCATATTCAAGTCTTACCATGACAATTTGAACTTGGACAGATGAATGCTGTAGGTAGTTATCACATCATAAAAATTCACGTAAAACTACATTACACATCAAAATGTCATACGTGGAAGAAATTCACAGAATTAGGAGGATATCATAATTGGTGCGTTGAGAGACATAAATGCAAGCGAAAAATGTTTGTGTGATAATAATGTACTGCATACTGGGATAAAGATATTTACGAAATAACAGCGCTTAGGCCATAGTACAACTGTGCATCAAATCTACTTGATCATCTGTAATGCATGATTCACATTACTGAACATCTTTATGCACTTCACGACTATCGCAAATTTCATCTTTACTTCCGACTTTATGGATAATTTAGTAAAACTGTCATGATATCCAGCATAATTTTCTCTCATCGGAGATCCACTTGTACCCCAGCATCTCATCCAATTTCTCTTCTGATTTCATGCATACCTTTTTAGTGTATCGTATAGATTATTTTGAAAATTGATTCGAATCTAAAAAGTAATCAGTGATTTTATAGTTCTGTAAAGTCATCTAGGAAATGAAAATTCCACGGAAGATTTGTTCAAAAACAATTTGATGCACGACTCTACTAAATATTTTCTCCAACAACTTACACTACTTGCCAATTAGTCAGTAGTATGTTCCCATGTGTCGTCAGATTTACAACCAAAATGCTCGTTTACGCACTATCCACCTTTTTGTGGTGGTATTTTTGACTACTAAATTCAGTTAATTTGGCTGATGATTACTTAAAACCATACCATACCATCTAAAGACATTCTTTCTTTTAGGGAAATTGCTAAATTGTCATCAACAAATTGGTCATTTTATGATTTTTATGCTTTCTTTAAGGGCCGTTAAAATCTGTTATTCGAGTATCATTGGGTGCTGCTGAAAAGGTCAAGAAGAATCCGGAACGAGTAAGTTCAGACAAATTCCTTTAACCATACTTTAAATGGCACATCCTATTAGCTTGCATTAACTGTGGCGCGTATGTAGTTTGTATGTCAGATTGTTCCAGAGACAGAATAAAGCGTATTAACCTTTATCGTGTAGTGTGACATTCAGTCAAACTATCGCCATTTTCCTGTACATATTTTAAGCGATTAAGAATACTAGGATGTGGAGACTCTACTTCAGGTACTCAAAATGATTAGCCTCCTGTACCATCAGTTGTTATCCACAATCTAATTATGAGATATTCTGTCGACTTCCCTTCAGACGTAGACGGGATAATGCAGTATCATGTTGTAACAGTCGAAGACAAGATACTTGGTAACTGGATGTTTATCTAGAATTCGGTACCTCTATATAACGAAATTATGGCCACTGTGGATAAAATTTTATTTTGATAAATTCTCACAGTGTTATACGGTAATATTTACTGATGACCACTTTTCGAGCACAATTTATTCCTCATAATCATACCAGGGTACTCACACAACTTTCGTGCTTCATTTATATACATGAGTAAAAATGGATGATTAGACATCTAAATAAAAACAATATAAGACATGTGTGAAACAAAATTGAAGATAAAGTATATTCGGAACGAATATTACTGTTATCAATAATATACGATAGGATGGGAAATAAGACGAGAGTTGTTAGTCAATAAGCTGGGAAATAAGATGTTTTTTATAGTATAATAAATAACTTGTTAAAATTTTATAATGTGAATCGAAATAAATTTTAAGATTATTTATTATCTTGTGATTTGACTGGTGGTAATAATATCTTCCATATCTCTGGTATTTGCGTTGAGTCACTTCTATTGTATGTGTTCGGTGTAGACACGATGAGCCAGGATTCAGTAATCACCTTATCATTTGCATAGACTTTCTTGTTTTGTTACTTCTGCCTTTCGTGTTGTGTTTCGTTGTCTTTTTTCTTGTTTTCCGTGTTTTAATGCAACGCTGGTGCATTTTCTCTTTTTGACACCAAGTCTATCACACCGCTATTTGATATTTTTATGTCGATGAACGTATCTTTAAATATTGCATATGCCACAATGTGTGATTACGTTACACGGCTCTGTGTAGATTCTGTTGGTTTACATTGTCAAGCTGCAATGCATACTTTATGTGTTTACAAATCTCCACTTCAGATTCATTTAAGATATAGAAACACAACAATCAATTCAGCTTTTGAGGTATTAAGTTATCCTGTGTTGGGATCGCATTCACTCCAGAACGTTTGTCACATAGGTGTTATTTGTTTTGTCATATTATAGCTAATCAGATATTCTGTGTAAAATGTATCTGCCGTATAACTGAGTATTATTGTGGTAATAACAAAGATTTCATTTTATAACTACAACAACTTGAAGAAAATATATTGAAAACATTGTTCTTTGTTCAGACTAACTTTTAATTCAATTTATTTTGCAATTAGATTCATTATACTAATTTATAATAAGTAGTGTCATAAAAATAACTAAGTTTATCTGATTTGTAGACTCTAATCTTTCATGTCGAATTAAGTGATGTGGCAAATCAAGATGACTCCAACGAATCTGTGAATATTAAGTCACGTTGTTTCCGAGCCAGCTTACTGGCTAGATCAACGATAGAATATCACTATTGGTTAGACGGTTTATTTCTGGTAAACAAATTAAATGTAAGTTAATTTTTGCGTACATATTTTCTGTTTTTCGTGGAATCGAATCTCCTAGTACTAGAGCAACATATTTTCAAAGATTTATGAACTTATGGTACATAAATGTCATATGGATCCATAGGAAAGTCGCCTAAATGAATCACTGTATCTAGACTAGTGTGAAGAGTTGTTTTGTAATTTACGACCGATTGTTTTGGAGAGCGTTATTAGAAGAGGCATTGGTTGCTTTAGTCCTATTCCACATAAAATTGTTCACCGAGAAAGGCGGTGGCTTGGTCTGTGTATAATATATCTTAGTCACATCTGTCGATTCACCTAACACGAAATTTTGAACCCATCCACATTTGACAGAGGCAAATCGCATGCTAAACTTACTAAGATTTATGGTGGAGGTGTTCAGAAGACTGTATTTCTCTGTGTTTTTACCTAGGAGGATCACGTCTCCTGTATACTCTAGGTCAACGAGACACACACCATCTTGATAACAAGTCATTTCCAGGGAAACGCATGTCGACTAAAGTCACATCTAATAGAAAATCTATAGTCGAATTAAGTAAGAATGGTGACAACGAGCATCTCTGATGGACCCCACTGGGTAACGTCACTTAAGGTGAAAACTCTCCATAAGCCTCTTACACGCCTCTTAAGAGGAAATTCTTACAATGAAGCTTAGGCATTAAAGTAATTAACATTTGTGTATTGTTATAATTATTTATTTATACATTTTTTATCACAAAGTTTATAAAGTTTTTTGTGTCCACTATTTAATTAGGGGTTTGAATATTTTTGATGACTCAAATTACCATGAACTCCATCTAATGTTATGCTTTCACAAAAATGAAAAACAAATTCCAGTAGATTTTTGTGACATAACTTATTAGGTAAACTAATTATGCTCTGTTGTCTTTCTACACATCATCCGTATTAAATGAACTAAAGTGTTGTGTTATCCTATCTGTTTAGTCTAGAGCAACCAAGGTATTTTGTTCTCTTAAGAACGCATAACTCTTAGGTATTTATGCTGTTTCACAACTTCTGGTGTGTTAGGCATGGACTCTGATGGTGGTGTGCCAACTGACCATCGAATACTAAGCTATTTAGATGTTCACTAGGATCGTCAGTCATGCAGTGAATGAACCTAATGAATTACATATCCCAATAAAGTCTGTCGGTTTGCGACTGAATGTTGTTAGTCGGAACAGATACTAGTCGGAGAGAGAAACAGTGAGAGTATGTTACCTCAGTTACTAATAAACCTGAAATTCAAATTAACCACACCCTTTTGTTGGTTGAGTTTGAAAATTGAATTAAATTAAATAATATTGATGTAGTTCTCCATCATTTCTAAATGATGATAATCAATGTGTTATCAGCAGAAATCTGTTTTTAAAGAACCAATACACATCAACATGTCACATTCTGCTTGACGCATATATTGTTTTTTTTAACAACAAACATTTCTATCTGCACTTTAATGATTTTATTTTATCATGATTGAAACAATTTGAGTTTAATTTTTATTAAAATTGTCGTAACCGCATAAAAATATAAGATGGTAATGAAGTTGACTTAGTTAGTTAATTCTTCTTCTAGCCTGACTAGTCAGTGTTCATGACCTCATAAGAGGATAAATCCCTCTAGGTACAATCTTGTGAGCTAGATCAACAAGGGCGGTTAACCTGATATGCCTATGTCGATACAGGTATCACTACTGGTATTGTGTCCTTCAGTGTGCTGTCATTGTTTGTCTGATTTGCAAACTCATATACAGCTTTCCCGCTTTAAAAATACCTCTTCAGTAGACCTGCTCAGTGTATGAACTACTTAAATATTACCACTAGTAGTAATAGTAATAGGTTTATTTGAAAAGTATGTACACATTAAGAAATAGTAATTACTAGTCCATCTGTTTGTATCATGAAACTTTGCTAACCAGTCAAAAGGCAAAAAGGTAAATTAATCCATTAGATGAAAGTTTAAAGACAGTAATGAAAAATAAAGTTTATGTGTTGTACAATGTCACAAAATTCAGATGCGACTGGAAATACGCAATGATGGTTATATCATGTACCGAATTATCACTCAGTGAGTAGTTAGTGTGCATAAAGTATTATGGTTGTATCACCGTAAAAAGTGGCAATTGAAGTTTTAAGGTGCAAGGGTGTTACAGGTTTCCTACTTCATATATCCTCTGAGCTTTTTCACATGACAGCAGACAAACACACATTTGCATGGGCAATATATATATATATGGTTCAAGTTTCCACACGATCAAAGTGAAGACCAACAGTAATTAAAGGAAATAAAGTAACATACTGGAATAACAGTATGAAATACTATAAGGTTTTGATGAAAACATGATATGAATCCTTTCTGCGCTACTGCGATAGATTTTTAGCAGTTACATTTAGAGTTCCCCAGCACATTGTCTAGTTATCTATCAGATCTAACTCAGAAGAGTATATTTCGCTATGTGATATGAACAAACAGTTATTAACCTTAGGAAACAGTTGTGCCTCATTCTGATTACCCTTTTATTCTTTTTAGTTAAATTAGCATGTTGAGATAGTTGGTCTTACCATTTCAGTTGACCAGTGGTTCATGTGTTTTCAGTATTTTCAGACTGTACACTTTGAAAGAATTTTTCCATGACCATAAGATAGAAAAAACTCAGTGCTGGAGAAATACACACTACGCTTAATAGACGACTGGATATATATCTGTCATAACTAATGTGAGCTGTCGAAAACCATCCAAGCCTTTTGTGTTCAAGCTAAACTGTCATTCACCCATTCACTTATCCACAGTAAATGACATAGTAAATACTGTGATTGTATCGAAATATATGGCATTAGAATCAAACCCTTTCACCTAAAAGATGTAAAACATATCAGATACGTTCGTTAAATTGTACCGCAGTAAATTCATTTACTTGGGTTACCCTAAGCACCCCAGGTCGGCCTAAAAAACTTTCAGAATACGATCATCCTATACGAAGTTAGGAACGACAATGACCTAAATAAGTTTATACATGTAAAGTTGTATAAAAATGAAAAGATTGAAGATTCTTGACGAATACCACGTGGGGATAACATGTTATTTTGCCTGATATGATTAATAAACATGTCAGATAGAGCTCACTGAGAAACAGTGTCACAAAATTCCTTACTATCTTCAGGTCAAGATGTGCAGCTGGTATTGAGAGGCTCATAATTATACCTACCTTCTCACGCCTGAAAGGAAGACGAAAACCTAGTCGATACAATCATAACCATCCAGCTCAGAGAACAAAACCACATCAAAATCATTCACCTGAGCTACAAATCTTCTCTATAATATCTAAATCATAACCAGATCTGGAAACCTGCCCGGTTGTATCTGGTTCGCAGTAATCGAATTTCCACTAGGCGTTAAGTGAATCTTAGTAAGGATACCAGTGGAACTAATTCTTTTGTGATGAGTGGAATTCACAATAGTAATAAATGATCAAATAGAGTCAGAGACGAAAAAAAGTTGGTGTCCTCCTTTTTTTGGCAAACATTCAATATTAGTATGACAGAAATTCTTTCGTCCTTCATTTTCAAACATTTCTGGTATTGATGCTTAAATATTTGATGCCTTTTATCATAGATTACCTACAATCTTCTTAACTTCATCAGAAATTTTCAGCTGTGTGTATACTGCTGTGGAAACTCTTCTTAATCTGTTTTAATACCGTCTTGCTTCCGATGATTTTCTCCTATTTGCCAACCAGAGTCTTTGCACTTCCTAAGTTCTACATTACCATATATATATATCCGTCTTGTGAATTGTTAAGTAGTAGTCTACGCCTTGCATTGGTGGTTCAGTGGTAGAACACTCGCCAACTCCTGAAATCTTGCTCTGCTGGTAGCAGGACGTGTAAAGAGAGAAAGTTGGGTGTGATTAACAAACACCATTGCTGCTGAAACTTCAAAGCATGTTTCACTCGGAATGCAAAGAAATAAAATCTTCAAAAAATAAAATCTACACCGTAACCATTAAAAAAGAGATTAATTCAGTGTATTTCTTAGGTTCCCCTTGCTTGAGTCAAAGGCCTGTTAAAGCCATCTTACTTCCAATGACTAACTGTTTTGCTTTAATAGTTAGTTATGAGACCTTAGAATATGAGCTGAAAAATAATTGTGCTTGCAGTCTTACGGGTGAATCAATGCATTTGAGAGTGAAAGTCAGGATGTGCTTTTCGTTCTGTTTTGGATTCATTAACTAGATAAATCTGGTAACATTAGAGAATTATCTATCCACCAGATTGAAACTATGATTGTTACTAAGTGGGTTTTGAATCTCATTGGTCCATTTTATTAAGCAGATTCTCTCTTGGTGAATACTGATGTTCCAGTTTCACTAGTTGTTTTCCTCTCACTAAATGATAAAATTTCTTGGCAAACTTTCCGGGTAATCTTATATCCGCTCTATAACAGCTGCATTTTGTTAAGTGGGTTGACAGCTGTTACAAAGAATTCTGGCGTTTCACTTGTATATTTTTTGATACTGGGGAGCAGCCATTTTTATGCTCTTTAGTTCAGTGTTCAAAGTTCTGCCAACGGGATTTGTTATCACACTGTTGAACCTTATTGAAGGATTTTGTGATATATTCGTACTCAGTTAATTGTTATTTCTATTTATATTTTTTGACTTTGACGCATTCATTTAGAATCCAAGTGACTATTACAGTGAAGATGTGGAGCGGTTAATTGATTTGGATATGCGTATACGTCTTTCAAGCCTAGATTTAAATGAACTACCTAAAAGAGAAATTTCTATACCTCCAGATCCTCCACCTTTGGATTTTGTTTAACTTCACTGCCTTTTACTTCCTTCATTCACAGAGTTGAGTGGAACACATCTTGAAATAAACAAGATGTGTCTGTGTGTTTTTTTAGCCATTGGAGATTGAACATATATACTTGTGTAATTGATTACTTTTTATAATAATCGGCAACTATGTACAAAATTTCCTGATGCGTTATCCGAATAATGCACAAAATATTTGTGTGTGTGTGGAAGGAATTCTTGTATTTTTCAGTTTTGTTTCTATCATTCAAGTTATGCATGGATTTGTTAATTATGATGCTTTAGATGCATCTTGTTTTGATAGTGAATATTTTCACCTGTTGAGACTTGTCTTTCTGTACTCGTTCAGTTTATTTAACGGTAGTCCTTGTCAATTATTATTTTCATTATTACTACTATTATTTTGTACGATATTCATATTTTGCCTCCTGTCAACAGGTTTGTGTCTATAGATATTACTCACTCATTAAATTTGTATTCATACTTCGCATAATATCCTGATGTATCTTCTTCTTCTTCTTTTTGTACTGGTCTGTATGCCTAATATTAATCGAGACTTCCGGCTTCCCCCTTATTTTGCTATTCAACTATGGTAATCAACCTTTACTAATCCGTCATGTGTTGGTTGGTAGCTACCAGAGTACAATCACATTGTGAGGAGCTCGTCAGCTTTTTTATCCTTCTCTACACAATTACAAACAATCACGTACAATTAGCTAAATTAATAAAAACAGCTCAATTACGTGTCGGCCTACACAATCAGTGTTTGTTTCTCTCATCCATCCTTCGTTTTTGTATATCAAAACCTGTGTTCATTCACACTTCTTTTTTAGAAAAATAACAATTATTATTATTATTATTGTTCAGAAAAATAAACAAAAACATACTACTTTACAAGCGTGTTTTATCGATTTTTCGTTTTCACTGATATTGTGTACTCTGTTTCATATGTATGTTAACAATTCTTTATTAGACCTTGGTATACAGTAAACAGACTATAGAATTGGTGAAAAATAGTTCAATTCGATCATTTGGAGTGATGTATGGAAACTAAATGCATTGAGTTGTCCAGTTCCACTGCTAATCAGAATGGAACAATGTCCCATTTCATAGATAACTGCTAACAAACGAAAGGGATGACACAGCTCAATTAATTCCCCGATATCTGAAAGTGAAGTGAATATTGATTCACTTATAGTTGCTCACCTTAATACTTGAGAGACATATAATTGTAATACTAATGTTACGCAATCAACTTAATCTAAAGCTACTTACGGTAATGTCAAACTCTTTCAAACTTCTCCCATTTCAAATTTGTGCTTTTTTCGATAGTCATTAGTTAAACTTACCTATGTTCTTCTTAAAGAATCTGATTCTAATAAGGGGATTCAAACCTACACTACACAGTTCAAAGCTATTCAAGTGTTAGTTAAACGGTCTACCAAAAGTATGGATATCGATCATGATTATTATCGTTAATATCAGTAGTCGTGTGTTGTAAAAGACTAAGTCGACAACAATTTATAATGTAGACTAACCTGTTTAGAGGCTTCCTCCTCTTCCTTTCCATCACCAATAACTACATAAGTGCATTTCCTGCCGAATCGGGATGAAATTCTTTCAAAACAGTTTTCCTTCCCTGTTTCAATAAAGAGAGAACTGCGTAGCATTAGTATTTTTGCACAGAATAACTATTTGTAGACGCTGATATACCACATACATAAGATA